CCCTGCGCTCACCCGGAAGTCCTTGGCACAGCGCCGGTACTCAGCCACATCGCGGATGGCCAGCATGCCCCCCATGGAGCTGTAGCTGAACTGCTGCAGGTGCTCGTGGATGAGCCGGTGAAAGCGCACCCCCAGCTCCGTGAGCACCGTGTCCACGTTCTTCCCGTCCATGGACTTCCGCACGCGCTCCACCTGCTTCCCCATGTACGTGCACACCTTGACGCAGGCCTGCGAGATACGGACACAGGGACCGTGTTCGTGTTTGCGTTCGGTCAGGCGGCGCAGGATTCAAGCCCGCTGCAGGTACTCGTGTTTGCGTTCGGTCAGGTGGTGCAGGATTCAAGCCCGCTGCAGGTACTCGTGTTTGCGTTCGGTCAGGTGGTGCAGGATTCAAGCCCGCTGCAGGTACTCACGTTAGTGTACTGAATCATGACGTTATTCTCGTCCTCGGGACGGAAATCCGTCTTCTTTTGCTCTGTGGCCAGGATGTGCTTCATCTGGCCAATCATACAGTTCAGGGTCCTGAAAAGGCGAGCAGGGAAACAGGATGGGTTATGAGAAACGCACAGCCAGCAGCTTCATTTCATTCAACACAAGACCGCAGACAGCGCCCATTGGGTCTCTTGGAGACGAAGCACGATCCACAACGTTGTCAGCGATCGCATTATAACGCGCCAGGACGCAAGCGGTTTCAACAAAGTTTTACATAAGTGTGCTTATGACTGACCTGTCGATGCCGGTATCCAACTTCACCTCCATCTGTTCAATGACCTCCTTCTTCTTCTGCAGACACTCTGTCAGCTTCGGGGAAGAGCTGCGGAGACAGGGACAGAACCAGGCAGGGAGTTACAGCCAGCGTGCCACATTTAGAACAGTCCCGTCCCCCCACCGAGCTCACGTCAGCGTGGCTGTTGGTTCTCTGCCATTGTTGTGGTGGACGAGACAAGTGCCAGGTATGAAACAGCTTGGCCCTACAGTCAGTATAGCAGTGTGAGAGGTGGGGAGAGGCTGATGTCAGAGACGCGCGAAAGCAGTCACACGCAGGTTTATGGGTCCCTTGTCGCTGGCAGGGGGGGCTCACCTGATCAGGGGCATAAGATGGTCATTGAACTGTTTGTCAAAGAGGTGGAAGATGGTGTTGGCCTGCTGCACCACATCCAGGAAGTACAAGTTGGCATTTTTTGCATCGGGTGATGGGATTGCTGCCAGGAAATAAAAAAGCACATCACACACTCGCCCCCTTCAGCACTTTAGCTCTTGGTGTAAAGTGACAGGGGTAATAAAACAGATCCTGCACCATTTTAAACTTTTACCCTACAGAGAATCCAGCCTACCCAACTTGTCCCACTGGATAACCATAAATAAACCTCTTTTGAGTGAACCAGGTGGCCCTATGATTGGGCACAAAATTAAAAATTGGTAAAGAGCAATCAATATTATTAATACTGAAATAGCTGTACTTCACTAGGACTCTAGAGCATGAGTGGTTATGACTTGTGACAACAGGAAAACATCCAAACACATAACATTTTTTTCACAAAGCTACAAGGCTCTGCATTGCTTGACACCTCAATACCACTCTGAGCTACTATCATCCTACTCCCCACCTTGCAACCTTCACTCTTCTAATTCTGGTCTCCTATCTGTCCCCCAAGCCCGTCTACACTCTATGGGTGACAGGGTCTTCTCCTGTTATGCCCCAAACCTGTGGGACTCTCTCCCAAAGGGTATCAGAAAGTCACCTTCTCTAAACTCCTCCAACTCAAAACCTTCTTCTTTAGAAAAGCCTTTAGTTAACTTGTCCTGTTCTTTACCCCTCTGCTCCTACTGTCTTCAGTTCCCCCATCTACTGTCTTCTCCCAATGTGTATTCTCATTTATTTGTTTCATTGTTGTCATTCTGTAAAGCACTTTGAGAAGGCACCTTTAAAGGTGCTATATAAAATAAAGTCTATGACTTATTACTATAAATGGCTCATCTTAGAAAAAGGTATTAAAAACCTAAAAAGATAACATAGATTGCCGTAATTGGCCTGGGTGCAGCGGCTGTACCGACCTGACAGGCCGATCTCCAGGGCGTAGTCGATGTGATCCACACAGAGATGATCCACCAGCAGCAGGAAGATGGAGAAAGCATTCTTGGGGAGGTCAGAGGGGTCGGACAGCTGAGAGAGAAGGGGGAGGTCTGCTGAGTCTCCAGGGCAGAAGCTGGCGTTTTCATAAGTAGATTGTATTCGGCACAGCTTAATTCTTCTCTGAACAGCGTGTACTAACCCCGAGGGTAAGCGTGTATTTGCCCCAGGGGGAGGGAGTGTACCTACCCTGTGGCAGCGCTCAAACGCATGCCGGGTCTCCTGCAGCAGGTTGACCACAACCTCTTGTGAAAGGAAGGTCTCCCCATGGGTGTCGATGCTGGGGCCAAGGGGCAAGTTGGTTCGCTGTCGGATCCGCTCTTTTAGGTCCTGGATACTACAAACAGACACAGGGAGGCCCTCAATACTGCCGGCACCAACACACGAGATAACGGACTTTACGCATAAAGACATTGGAAAGGCCAACAAAACGAGAGAAGGCCGATCGGCCCATCGAACCTACTGGTAGTCAGTAGCCAACTGATCCAAGGATCTCACCCAGGGGTCGTACAGTCACCCCTAAATGCCGCAGATGGAGTGAAAGAATGTTCTGGTGCACAGTGAGTCACTGTTTGGGAGGCTGCACCTGCCCAGAGCCATCCTGTGTCTGTGGTGTCAGTGAGACGATGGGATTGGGAGGCAGCCAATTACAACAATGACAACCAGGTGATGGGGGGGGGGGGAGTTGGGTTAAGGCTGAATAATGCATGGATATTTCCCTGTTTTCCCACTTCCAAAGCCTGGCTGCTGAAAAGCCCTTAAGGGATCCAACAAGCAGTGAGGAAAAGCACAGAGATGGCAAAGTGAACTGGCAATGGCAGGGTCCCCCGCAATCTTACCCTCCGGTGCCCAGCGAGCGTTTCTGGTGGTTCTTGGACTCGTAGTATCTCTGCAGGATCATGGTGCTGCGGCTGCGCAGGTACTCGCGCTCCGTGTCGATGTAGCTCTCCAGGTAGGAGGAGAAGATGTTCTTGATGAGCTTGGACAGGAAGGTGTGCTTGTCAGAGCCCAGATTGAACTCGGTCAGCTTGCTGGCCAGAGCGGTCGTCCTGCAGTGAGCACCACAGCAAGAGTGAGTCTTTACCTTCTAAAGAAGCTGTACAGCAGCCAGTGGCGAGACACCGGTTACCTGGTGTACAGGTCGTACAAGTTCTTCAGGTACTGCTCAGCGTCTGACTTGCGGCTCTCCTCTAGCTTGTCCCTGACGTGGCTCTGTAACACAGACCGTGACCTCAGTTAGACCATGACCATGACAGGCAGCTGCTCAGCCAAGGAAACAGTCTTCCTTGGGGCCAACACTTGTCCTTCTGGGCTGCAGCACAAACCACGTCGAAATCAAGACATCAGACATTCAGTGTGAGGCACGTAAACTCACGTGAAAGACCAAAGAACTCCCATTCTTCTCATTCAGCTGCTCGGTATTACAAGAATATGTGTCTATACTCATCAGTCAAACACAAGACATTGAAGACACAGCAGTAAATTAAAAACTACAGAAGAGAACCAGTTAGTGGTGTCAGAAATGCTGAAGTAAACTTTCATTTACATGAATACCAACATCAATACTACGGTATGTTTCATACTAGGGCCATGGACCTCCTTACCAGAGGCGCATATGAATTTGCCTTACATGTCATTCATTGTAATGCCTTGATAATAATCTTAGCCCAATCTGGGTTCATAACCCTATCACCTTCCAAAACCTTGCAATATAACTTAGTCCTTCAAACCCTATTTGTAACTTAATTTAACAGAAGAATTCTGTCCCACAATATTTCATAACGATATCTTTTTTGTTTCAGAACGCTCTGTTCCTTCCAAGAATCATGGGTGAATGGCTGACACTGCACAGTGAAGGGTGCTTCAGTCTTACGAGCCAATGATCAAGCGGAATGATTACCTGCAGCTTGTTCTCGAAGATGCTCTGGATGAGTTTGGCCATAACAGTCTCCGGGCTACAGAACACCTCTCCCACCTGTTTATTAACCCGCTGGCACAGCGACGCCGTATCCTCAAATACGTCATTCTGCTGGTACGCCGCCTACACACACACACACACACGGGGTTTCCAGTCATTCTCCGGACTACACCGAACACAGCATAATTGCGAACCGCACTGCTGACAGCACAGTTTGCAATTGTGAAATACTGCACATGACCGCAAACCACAGTCTACAATGGCCTCGGGCCTAAAAAGAAGATGCTGCTATGCATGCAGCAGTCTTGCAGGTACACTGGTACAGCATTATAGAGACAGCACAAACAACTAGCTGCTCAAGAATTTGACTTTGTGGGGAATCAAAGAAAGAAAAATATGAGATGACCCACCTCTTGACACTGTTTGATGTACACATCGACGCAGTGAGCGTAGCCCTGCAAAGACACAGACACACAGGTCACCACTGCGCCACTCTCATGCCTTCTGAGCATAATGTGCAAAGATTCAAGATCTGAATGGAAAGATAGGATTTTTCATGAACAATGATATTGCCTCTCAATTTTAAAATCCAAAGCACTGGAAGCGCACTTAAATTAGAAAACATGAGGTATTTCTTAACCCAGAGAGATGTGAGAACATGGAAAAACCTACCTAGAAATGTTGTTCCTATCCTATCGTCTTTCAAGAAACGACTGGACGAGTATTAAGTACTTACTACCAGATGGGTTATATGGGCCACAAGGGCTCCTCTTGTTTGTAATCTTTCTTACGTCCCTGTAGTCACAGAGTTCATGTCAGAAAGCTCATAGTATGAAGGAGCCCTCTATAATAACAAGGGATGGGGCTGGCAGGTCACAGAGCATAAGGCACAGTCACCTTGAAGTGCAGCAGGACTGAGGCCACTTCCCTCATGCGGCCGATCTCTCCCCTGCGCTGGGCAGCTGTGAACTCCTGGATGAGCTGGCGCTCCAGGTCATGGTACTTACCTGCACAGAGAGACAGATCACACGTCAACACAGCACAGCACTGGAGGTTACAGACAATGCAAATTACAGAACAGGGAATCTCTCAAAGTCGGATCAGCTACAGACAAGACATGACGCCTTAAAAAAGTCTAGTCCCTCTTCCCGTGCTCCAAGAGGATCCAGAGGCATTTCAAAACGGAACCACTTACTTGCAATCTTTGCTTTCACGGCAGAAAACCTACCAAGACCAAAAGACAGGAGAAATTCTAATCACCATCTGATGAACAGAATAAAAAGCCTTTAGTCTTCCCTTTTCCCCAGTTGTAATCATTTTAGAGTTTTGAAATTCTAGACACATGCAAGACGATGATTTTCTCTTATTCTATCCTCAAAATGTAAAAAAGCTTTAAGGCTAACCTTTTCCCCAATTCTAATCATTTTATGGTCTTGAAATTGTACACAGATGCAAAACATTGGATTTCTCTTCTTCTATCCCCGTGTCATTCTTACACATTTTGAAGGAACAACAGTTTAATTCATGCTCTTCCTGCATCCTCTCTGAATCCTGTGATTTTGTTCTGTGGTCAAGTGCAAACTCACCTGTCAAAGGGCAACTCCTGGGCAATCAGGTGGAGTTTCTGAATGATATCAGCTGCTTCTTTAATCTAGAACAAAACAGAAAAGTGGCCAGAAAATTGATACTCGAATAGGAGAAATGACAAGCACACCAAATCTTCTGAACACCTGCCTACATCACAGAGCCATTCCTGCAGAGGAATTCAAAGACACAACCACATGGAAAAATCACCTATGAAAACCAGCAACTGCAAAGGCTGATCCACTCTGCCCTCCAAATACAGGAAATAAATACAGAGTGCACGCATTTATATTTGATATAGGAATGGACTGTTCTACATTGTGTGTATTGCAAAATGAGTGTAAATAATCATTGCTAATTTAATTAACCAGAACTAACTTTCAAGGAGTGGGGGAATGAATTCATACCCAAAATAAATGGTGGGCCCACGATACACAATTCATTTCACTGTTCCCATAGAAGCCTGCTGAAGCTAACATCATTAATCACTCCCATGAGGTAGATGCAGCCTTTTCCTCTGTGAGGCTTTATAAGTATCTGTCCTCTAGCTAAGATTAGCTAAATCCCATGTAAGTGATGTAGCCGTCGCCCTGCAGTCAGGGTTTATAAGCACTTGTCTCCATGCTGGCAGGCCAGCCCTCCGTTTTATAGGGATTAGCAAAGCCTGTCCCTCCAGCTATTGACACACAGCTTCCCATTCTGCTCTAGGTACACTCACATATTCGCAGTGCTTTAGTTATTCATGTCCACCTTGAGTATGATGTCCAGGTCCAGTCTTGGGACATTACAGAAAAGATGCTGCCAGTGTCTTACTGTCAGTACCATGTTCCCATGCAGGTCTTACAAGACATATCCCTTTGACCGCACGTGTCTCACTTTAATTTTCTTCCAAGGTTATACAGAGGACGGTGTTAAAAGAATGGGTAGATCTTGTTGAAAATGCAGATGGAAGGCTTTTACATGCTTCTCTGTTCCAGCAGCTCATGGCCAGCCACAGTCAGACGACTGCATGCCTTCCTGCATTGGAAAACAGCCTATGGGACAGCTAAAAAGCATCACCAAGCCCATGGTGAGAAGGGTAAATGGGAATGGCTGGGTTTGCCATGACAAACTGTCAAGATACGTTTACTAGTAGTTCTGTAAGGTGGAGGAGAGAACAGCTAGTAGTTACATGTGCAGTACTTAATGGTTGGCTCGTAGTTTTAATTGTAACATGAAAGGTGAGCAACCTTAAATAACTTTATCAGTTGTGGTATAGGAAAGGCATAAACAACCTTGTGACTTCCATTCCAGTCTTTCTTCAGACTAGTGGATCTTCAGTACTCAACTCATCTTAAGCAGCAGAGCCACGTAAGTAATTCAAAACGTCTCTCTGCACGTGCACTGAATGGCAGATCCTGGACTCCCTGTCCTTGCAATAGCCTACTAACAGCTAACAGACCGTGTTTGTGCCTTTGCAAGCAAACACAAAATCTGAGTACTGCGGTCATGTAAACAGGAAGTGGATATTGGCCGGTCCAGTGGTAATTAGAGGGGAGATTCTCTCCGAGCAGCATGTTAGTGTGACCTTATCAGGGTTGTTGAAGACATCGCTGCGCAGCTCCCCGTCCAGGAACTCGTTGAAGTAGGTCATGAGGCGCTGGGCCTCCACGGCTCTCTGACGTGGCGTGTTCACCCCCTCCAGCTGGTCGCCTAAGTGGCAGACCTTCGTCGCCACATAGCTGATGTGCTCATCCAGCTCCTGGAAGTGCTGGAACGCCACCTGTACAGGCAAACATACAGGCAGATGGTTTAAGGGGCACAGAAAATCACCCTATCAAAAGGGACCAGATAAAATGCCAGCGCACCAAGAGGCGGACCCCAAACAGACAAATAATTCTGAGAATAAAAGCATATTCCACTACATTAAACCTGAGGAGAAGTAAACTGTACTCCTTTAAAAAGTCTACTTGTCTTCCGCAGACAGCCCTATTGGATAACCTCTGCTGATTATGCTGGCAATGACAGTAAACAACCAGATATCACGCCTTAACCCAAAGCAGTCAAACCAAATAAAACAAATGATCTTCGCAGAACCGTCTGTCAGTGCTCAGCATCTTATACTGGACATGCCATGAGGAGCAGTCACAGAGGGCAGAGACAGTGCCCGGTGATGGCTGATAGCTGACCTGGTTGCTTCGCTGCAGGTCCTGCACCTTGCGGGCAAACTCTTTGGCTTCCCTGTGGCACTGCTGCTCCAGTTTCTCCACCCGTCTCTGGATTCGCTCATCCAGCTGCTTCAGCTCCTCAATGTGGTTCTGAAACTCCTCCAGCAGCCTGCAGAGGGGCAGCAAAGGAAAAAGTCCCAGAATCGAACCAAGCAGCCAGGCAGCAATCAGCACACAGAATTGCCAAAAAGAGCCCAGAATGCAAAGGCTCGGCCCCCTAAGGACTAAGATGCAGTAGAACGAGCAAAACATACATTTGTTTGATGAGCGCACTATGGCTGCCATTGCATCATCCAGGTGGTGGATGGTTACCTGTAAAGTGCTTTGAGTGGAGTGCCCAGAAAAGTGCTAATTTAATGTCAGGAGTTAGATGTTTTTTGCCATTAGCTAATATTCCAAGGACAAAGTCAAGTTTATATGCATCTTCCTATTAGGTAGGTCGGTCCCTTTTCAGGCCATAAAGACCCATGGGGGAATGGGGGACAAGGGCCATCATTTTTCTTGACCATCCGACACTTGAAGTGGAGGTGATGTGGTCAGCATCATGCTCTGGCAGGCCTGTTACCCCCAGAAGGATTAACCCCCCGGTACTCATTTGGAAAGCAGGCTGAGTCTGCTGCCCCTCACCTGCCCCTACCTGGGATTGAACCCAGCACCTTCCGGTCAGGAGCTACATGCCCTTGTCGTCTGAGCCACCACAGCTCCTCCATCTTTCTATTACTGTGTTTAATTTAACATTGTCTTAAAAATAAGCTTTATTAAGACCTAAAATGAAACAAAAGCCTGAAGATTCTTCAAATCCCAAAGACCTTCCCACCCCTGGTCTAAAGATGGTTATTTGAAAATATCATTCTTTCTATATGCAAGAGTTCCAGAAAAATTTTTTTTTGAGAAACGAGATTTGAAAATATATGCTGCATTGATGTTTCTCAAACAATGAATGGATTTTGGATACTGATTGAATGTTTTGGGTATTGTTTTTATTAATTAGTCATTAACAAATAAGCCTCCGAGAAAAACTGCAATTTCAAGAATCATGAAGTTAGCCAACCACTGTGAATCTGCAGGAGATTCAGTTTGCATTAACTGATTAATTGGATTTGGAGATCCACAGAGCTATCAACTGACTTCCTAACACTGTAGATGGCCAAGAGCTGCATTTTAGCACATGGGTAGGTTTTTTTGACAACCCAAAGCCAATCAATGAAAATAAACACAGTGAACCACTGTGACCTGATGCTCAGTTTTAATTTAAAAATATAGGACAGCTTGAACAATATATATATACATGCATGCATGTTGATTCATCATAATTAAGACTTCTCATTCTGCACATTTTCACATTTTTGTTAGTGGACACTATCGCCATCTACTGTTTAAAGCAAAAATAAGTTATGTTATTTGTTGATTTGATTAATAAAAATCCAAATAATCAGAGTACTGTCGATCACCTTCTGCAGATGTTTTAATTTCTAACTTTAGAAGATGTTATAAGCCAAACACAGCCTGAAAATGACCTAATTGACCTAACTGCAGAATTGCCACACCTGCCAGACCCAAAACAGCTCCCAATCCTACTGGGGGAAGGAAACTCAATAGAGCTGGCAGTGCAGTATGGGATCTCCTCTCAAAGCCAGAGGAACAGACAGTAAGCCTGTTCCACAATAATGTTTTATTCAATGCATGTAAACCTTAAATTATAATTTCTTACTGTAAAAACCTCTAAACTTTTTTTAATTGCACCTACTTCGGTAATACTGTAATTCATCAGTAAGGCCGCAGGAATTTAAATTTGGGAAACCACAAGACAACCCCCAGCATTGCCACACGTCTGTGACAGTCACCATGAGGTGGTGTGAGCAACACCTCAGATATACTGCTCAGCAGTGAAGCCAAGTCCTCCTTAGCGACAAATCAAGGTTTTGTGTAGAGTGGCCTGATGGACATCAGTAAGTGCAACGCAGCTGTGCAAAATGAAATGCTAATTACTGGGTACAATTGATGGTGATGGCCTGGGCACGAGCGTGTAGTTGCTCCACTGATGGAGTTTCTCGGACATCGCTTGCTGCCCTTCCTGTGAGCTCATCCCGATATGACAACATTCCAGCAGGAGAGCAGAAAAGCCCCTGTTACGCAACTGAGAATGTGTAACATTCAGCCAGCAATGCCGTGTTTGTCTTACTGGAGCCCCACCGAAAATGAGTGGGATGATCCGAGACGATGCGACATCTAGGTTTCAGAAGTCAGTGATGTACCGAGACCTGCCTGTTCCCGCTCTATGAAAACAATGGGACAGAATCTGATGCAGAGCACAAGTCTCAGCTGTACTACTTTACTGCTTCCAACAGTGGCTGCACACATGCTAACCTGTGGCTTTCAGAGTGGAGAAGCTCCGGATGACTAGAGCTAATCGGCAAAATGACCGAGGTCAAGTCCGTCTACCAAAAAATCTATGGAAAAAGATTTGTTTTCCTGTGTAAGTTATTGCTGTTATAAGTGATGTGTTTCTTTTATGCTGTGTACAGATCTCTATAAGCATACCAGCTTTTTCAGCTGGTATGCAAAACCCCCTGTAAGTTTCCCCGATTTGTTTTAGGGAAGCTGCATCCCGATCTACAAAAATATTCCTGCCGAGCTGAGGAAAAGCCCACAAATCAAGAGGAAGGCCAGCACTACCTTTTGGGATCAAAGGCCTCAGCCCCTCCTTTTGAGCCGCCCCCAGGGGTCCTCCAGGCGAGCCTTTCAATGTACTCATCCGCATCAAAGGGCTCCTGCCGGAAGAAAAGGAAGACAGTGTCAGGCTGGGAAAAGCCCGGGCTCGGGATCAGCCCATCACAATTCAAGACAAGGATGCTCCGCAGGAAGAAAATGTTTTTTTTCCCACCCCATTGGGTGAACTTCATTGTTTAGGTATTGATTCAGAATTAATTTTAATTCTGTGGCGAGCCATACGGCAAAAATGTCCAATCCAAACTTACCTGTCTTGCAAATGGATTCCTGCATGGTACATGTCAAACAGAAGAGAGCATGAAGGAACCCAATAACCTCACGTATTTCACACATTGGTTTCAACATCACCTGAAAATATCTCATTTCAAAAGGAAAATAAAGTGCCTTTTTAACAAGCTCCTTGCATCTTAAGGGTGCCTTAAGAAACACCGTGGAGAGGTTTTAGCAGAAACTACCAGTAACAACATGACCAAGGGATTAAATAAAACCCTCATACTTATTCCTTGTTCTTCTGTTCAATAACTGTGGCAAGAACAGCTGACAGCCTTTGTAATCCAAATGTACCACGCAAAACAAACTGTGGTTCATGAACTCCATTTCAGTGAAACGACATACACTAACTAATTCCCTGTTAAGGTCTGCACCCGATCTGAGATCTACCAGAAACAACACAGCCCGTCACTGGACTCCACTACTGCAAATCACAAAAACGACACGGCGCTTCTCCGATTCCACTCCCTACTCGTCTTACTGCTACTAAGAGAGGACTGCTGGCCTCCCTGGATGTAAGCGTCTGCCCCAGAATCATTGTCCTGTTATATCCCAAGAGACTTGGACCGGACTACCAGATTCATATCACTGCAAAACACGAGAGTTAAATAATAATTCCGCCAACATTTCTCTATGGATCTGCGAGTGTGTAGCAGGTTTAATTAAAAAAAGATCTGAATTGTAAAAATGTTATATTTGGGATATAAGCTTCTTTGACAGACAACCAACCACACACTTCATTGAACAGGGTATTGATGTTAAATCAAGAAGACAAGAAACACAAGCACGAATGCGTGTCCGGGATGAGATAAGCATATTAAACGTGTCGTTATTATAGCCAATATTAAAATCGTTATCGCAATTAAACTGCAAGCTTTAATAAAGCTCAATATTCTGCAAAGCTACGCTGCAGCCCCACCTCAAACAGCTGAGCTGTCGTTGCCATGATTTGAGTTTCGGCTCCAACCTGAAACTCTAGAAAGGGCGGCGTTGGCTGAACCGGACCGAACCGGGAAAGATAGCAGAATCCCAGGGTAAGCAGCCCCTCTGTTTTCTTCTGCTTTCTTGCAGTCTGTTGTTCACCGTCTTCCACAGGCCCTGTACTTCCTGTACACAGCTGCCATATCCGGGCCGGAAACAGAAACAATAAGCCCCACCCACACCAGGGGGCGCGGCCTCGGAGCTAGGCGCGCTCACGAAGGGGGAGCGCGTTTGTCCGTGGAGCTGGGCGTTGGGAAGTAGCGTAGGACTGCTCTGGAAAAAAAACCCAATAACCTGTGTCAGAATTATCTGGAGACCGGAATGATTAAAAAATGAGAAATTAGCGATTCATTTTAGGTTTCAGTTATTTTTTAAGTCATTGAATGTATGACCTTGTGAACCTCGTGATTCCCTTCAGTTTTCTCAATTCGTTTTATTTCTCCAGGAAACAAGTCTGTGTACCGTTAAATAAAATATTTCGTTTTAAAGCATTTTTGTTTCAATGATGAGATCAGGTACACGTGTTCCGACCGTACTTTTAAGGTATATGAACAGCTAAATGCATATCAGATGGCATGCATTAAGCTGTTGAAACTGCTAGTTTATTGCATTATGATGGTTCTCTACAAATAGGAAGGAGACACACCCACATGATCCGATAAGTAACGTTTATACTGAGCACCCAATTTCTAGCCGAAAGTACAAACGCTGTTTGGCTTGCTGGAGCGCGTGCCCGACATAGGGGGGCGGAGCCTAGCGCTCACGAGTTGCAGCGCGCAGGCGTGTCAGCACGTGTTCCCTTGAGCAGGAAGTAGTTGTGTTGTAAACGCAAGAGGTTAGAGTTTTGATTTTTAATTTTGAACAGTAACGTGAAACAGCACTTTATTTTATATCCGTTTCCTTTAACAGCGGTCAGCATACACATGGACTGGAAGAGCTGTTCTCAAACATTTTTATTGCTAATTGCAAGATTAGTCTGTGCACTTCTTTGTAGAAAAAAATGTATCGAACAGTTGCTGTAGATGGATCGATAATCGTCTTATTTTTTCACAGTAACGTGCGACCGATTCGTTGTTTTGATACACAAAATTGTTAACTTTATTTAGACGAGTGTCAGTCGCACTGGAGCTGGAGTGACGAGTGAAAACGAAATGGGAGGCATGTAGCTAATCTTGCGCACACTGGATTACTCGACTGGGCGTAAGAAGATCGAGTAAAAGTCAGCATTTGTACACATTTACAATAAAGGCACGGAAGGAGGTAAAATGAGTATTCGGGCTTTGTGGATCATCAGCCACTGCAAAGGAGAGCCTGGGACAGTACGGTTCTCAAAGTAAGTGACCTCGCTTACTGTTTTCATTACTGCACCTCAAACCCATGAATATACCTAAAAGACGTGTTTTTTTTTATTAATAACCAATAAAGAAGTCCTGCACAAGTGTCAGTTGTGATGTTTTTATATGGGCCATTAGTTTCACTGTCACACGACACATGATTGAGAGTTTGTAAGTCAGGTGGTTTTCCGCTGGGGCGACTTTAAAACGCGAACTGCGCCAGCCGGAGCCAGCGCGTCTGCAGCCGCACTCGATCAGCAGTGATGGGGAAAAAGAAGCCGCATCCAGCTGAGACCTTTCAAGTTCTCATCCCTCCTGTTTCACGGTAGTACATAGCGCTTTCCCCAGCAGAAAGTTCAGAATGGCCTGGTTCCGCGAGTTTACATTCCATCAGAAAAGTGCTAATAAACTGCCCAGCGTAAAGAAAAGAGCAGCTGTATACACAACTCTAACTGCGCTTTCCGTGTGCTGGCTGACCGCCCCTCTCTCAGTGTGTTGCCGTGGGTCTTACAGGCGGTACCCGACGGTCGAGAGACGTGCCCGGGAGATGGCCGGGGCGAAGTATGTGGCTGTCCCCGAGGACGCGGCTGTGCTGCACCCCCTGTTGACAGAGCTGGCACTGACGGACCCCGAAAAGCCCTTTGTGGCTGCTCGGGACGACTGCGCCCGCCCCCAGCGTTCCCCAGCCCTGGAGCTGCGTCTGGAGGGCCGGGAGGGCGGCGCTCTGTGGCCCCTGCTGGCCGTCACCCAGGGGGGGTTGATCTTGGCCTGCCTGCCCCTGGTGGATGCCCCTCCTGAGCCTCGGCCCCCGCTACCCAGCCTGGCCTCCGTGTCCCAGGCCCTCTCGCTGCTGGCGGGGCTGCAGGCTTTCCTGTGTGGGCCGGGGGGAAAGGCTGAAGCGGACCTCCTTGCCTCGCGTCTGGCCATCTTGCCCGCTGTGGTCCTGCAAGTCTGCCCCCTGGGGACCCCTCTGGATACCCCCCAGGCGGGTCTGCCACCAGCCCCCTCGCCGCCAGCCGCCGGGGCTCAGAAGCAGCCGGCCTGGAAGCCAGGCGGGCATCGCGGGCGAGCCACGGTCAACGTGGCGCTGAGCGAGCACGTGCGCTCCATGCAGTACGGTAGCCGCACCAAGCAGGACCTCTGGGACGTCTTCGGCACGGTCACCTGCAAGGTGAGCCCCGGGGTGCAGGGGTTAGGACTGGGAGAGGGAAGGCGTCCGGCGTCCCTCTCCGTTCCCACACTACGACCAAACCAAAAGAGCTCCCCTGTGGCCTTACCATAAAAAGGCAAAGTAAGGCTTTAGTTCTTAACAACTGCTGCTCAGATATGCCCAAACAGGCTTCTTATAATAATAACAACTTGATTTTATATAGCGCCTTTAAAGGTGGCTTCTCAAGGCGCTTTACAGAATGACAACAACAATGCAAAAATACACAAGATATGCACAATGAGAATACACAATGGGTGGAGACAGTAGATGGGAGAACTACAGTAGGAGCAGAGGGGTAAAGAACAGAACCAGTTAAGTAAAGGCTTTTCTACAGAAGAAGGTTTTTCCTTGATTCTTCATGATTATCAGCTTCTGGGGCTTGATAAATGCATTATGCCCGTGATCATCTGCAGGCGCTTGAAAGCTTTCTGTTCTGAGCAGCGCAGAGATGCTGCCGTCTCTCACACCAGAGTGTGCTCTCTCCCGCTGCTGTGTCAGTGTGAGCTGGAAGGGGTGCTGCCGAACGTGACCGTCACCCTCAGTTTGCCGCCGAACGGCTCCCCGCTGCAGGACGTGCTGGTCCACCCCTGCGTGACCTCCCTGGACTCCAGCGTCCTGACCGCCAGCAGCGTGGACGACGGCGACGGCTCGGCTTTCTCCGGCCCCTACAAGTTCCCCTTCTCCCCGCCGCTGGAGCCTTTCTGCCTCTGCAGCTACACGTCGCAGGTACGCAGGGGTACACACTCACAGACTGGCCTCCCGAGCGGATGAGGCCGTAAGCACGGATACCCTGCCTGGGCCTGACCTGCCTACAGACGGGCCCGGGCAGAGGGAGAAATTTTCCCGCTTCCCCTTAAAAGACTGTCAGGAGTCTGTCTCAGAGGGAGGGAGTGAAACACACAGAGATGCTTGGTGCATTTTTCTCAAATAAATTAAACTAGAACAGTCCTAAAATATTTTTCTGGGATCTTTCACGCTTCCCTGTGCTTCTCAGATTGGCAGCATTCCAGAATCACCTACCTCTTCCTCTTCCTTATTTGCCGAAGATGGCTTCTTTTAACACAATTGGTTGCTAAGTTTCATAGCACACCAGTCACTTTGTAACACAGTATAGGATTGTGTAGAGACCTCTCAACACGGCCTTTGAATGGTAGAGGCAGGAATTCAAAGCCAGTGCGCCCTCAGGCAGCTGGTCCTCATCTCCCTGTGACCTCTTTCTTTTGCTGCCTGTGCTCAGGTGCCTGTGCCGCCCATCCTGGGGTCCTATCAGCTGAAGGAGGAGGAGCACCAGTTGAAGGTGACCGTCAGCCTGAAGTTGCACGAAAGTGTGAAGAACAGCTTTGAGTACTGCGAGGCACACCTGCCCTTCTTCAACAGGTAATATACCCCGTCCCTGATGTACAATACACCGTTTCTGTTTTAAAGCCTGCTGATGCTTTCTGTCTGCTGTTGAGACAACTGGTCAGAAGTAACCTGGACAAACGGCCGGTGTGATTTCTCACCAGGGGTCAGCTGACCAACGTGGACGTGCGTGTGAGCTCAGGCCAGCTGGAGGTATCTCGAGAGAAGGGCCTTCTGGTTTGGGTGCTGGGTAGGTGCAGAGGGTGTCGTTTTTATTACTCTTCTATAGCTTTGTGTGCACCGATTTCAGGGATGGCCATAGACAGCTATCTGAGGCATCTTCCCATCTGCTTCCAGTGTTCCTTTAAGGATGTAAAAAAAAAACAACGTTTGTTTCTTTCTTCCTCTCTCCCCTAAGGTCAGAAGTTCCCCAGGTCCTTAGAGGTCTCCCTGGGAGGCACTGTGAGTTTCTCTGGGCAGGCGCAAGGGCCTGTTGAGCCTCTCTGCACAGGACTCACTGCGTACATCAAGGTGATTGTGCACACAGGGTTCTGGTTTAAAACAAGGCGCATTTTCCAGGTTGAGTGCTTGTACCTCATCTGGTGTCAAATATTGACTCATAATGATTGAGAATGGTATTAGTTTTTACTGGGAAAATGAAATATAAAGGATGAAGCAGGTGATTTGTGTTAAATTATCTTGATGTGGAGGTGTGAATTTCATATCAAGATATAGTGTATATTATACTACATATAAAATATAGTGATTATTTTTATTCCCAGACATGAGTTGATATTTGGTTCTTTAACCTGATCTGTGTGCAGACTTCCTTGTAATGGCGTTTTGGATTTCATTGTATACAGATGTGTGATACTGGCCTGTTACATTTTTTCAATTTGTCATTGAAAGTTCACGTTATTCTCAGCTGTGCTGTCATTAGTGCTGTGTGACAGAGTCAGTGTGTGTCTGTTTTGCAGCTGTATTTCAGAGTCCCTGACCTGACTCTTTCTGGATGCTCGGTGGACCAGCACTCCGTGCAGGTGTACTCCTCCGCCAAGCCACGCATCAGCACCTGTGAGTGTTAATACATACATGGCATCGGCACACTTAACTGGTAAAAACATTTAGGTCTTCAAGTCACAAAGTGTGTCATTGGTCAGATTAAACTGTGAGACTTGAATATACATATGCACACTGACAGCGCCTATTCTAATGCACTCACTATTGCTCAAAGGTTTCACACCTATAAACCATGTTTCTATTCACCACACACAAGCATTAATACATTCACTGTACTTGTTTGCTTTTTGCTGCTCTTTACTTATTTGCATGCAGAGGTTCAGTCTGCTGTTGGTTGGAAACATATCTCATAAAGGTACTTCACTGAAGCAGACATCATACTACTCCGGCATGCACTTTGTTCTGTAGAAACTGGGCAGTGTCCCTCAGATTTAGAGCTTTGGAAATAGGCCCTGACCCCTAGTGGTGGGTTTTAGAAAATGTTCTTGGGTATTGTCTAATGCTGTTACCTATAGGAAGCTGACATCATCATTCCCTATTTCTGCAGCCCGAGAGCTTGTGTCCTCAGAGTATTACATCTGGAACTCTACTGGGGATGCCCCTGTTTCCTCTGGACTCATGATGCTGTAACTAGGTGTGGACGAGAGAGTGGAGCTCTGATACTGGAGTCTCTACAAGCTACGCTTCAGGCACTGTCCTGTTTGTCCTTCACAAGACACGGCCGTCAGTGGAGAAAGGAAACAGAACAACAAATTGAATGTTTTGTCTCAAAAAGAAAATAGCACTTTTGTAGGAAAGAGAGAAACAATTCAAGACATTGAAGATGACTTAATTATTCAGTCTGCAAATGTAATTTTTGTTCTGCCCCTTCAGTATGGCAGTGCTGAGATTTGGGCATGCTTGACTAATTTCAGGTTGACCCTGTGATTTTTCTGAGCCCTCGGACTCTGAACCACTGCCACCTGTTGAGGTCAAACAGCCGTATTCTCGGCTGAATGGTTCCTGACTTTCTCTGGGCTAAATGGGAAGGTGTTTCTATTAATTAGCCCTTAACCACTTTACAAGGAGCCAGAAGAAATACAGATTCTACCTGAGTGGACGTCTTTTGCTTGTGCACAACTGCAAGCTTTGAAGTGCAGTTCAGTGCTGAGTTGCAACTTGTAAACATAGGACTAACAAATGGAATAAACAACTTTGTTGTTGCACTGCTTGGGGAATATCCAACTTTGTTTTGTTGTTGGACCACTTGGTGGTTTTTCTTGCACTCTTCATTTGTGTAATAAATAGTTCACAAGTAACCACAGACCTTGACATTCTTCATTTTGCGTGAAATATTGAAGTTGGATGTGAAAGGTGACCATCAGTACTTGATGACAGTTTCCCATTAGCTCTGTGTCGAGCTGGGGGTGGGCTCTCAGCACGGCCATGACTCTTTAATGGGGGGGGGCGGGGGGTTGTCACTGCCCCTCCATCAGCTGGATAATTAAAGGCAAGGGCTCCGCCAGTCTGAGCAGTGACAGTCCGAGAGCTTTAGCTGTGTGAATGGGGGCTCTCAAGGCAGCACCACAATGAGCAGTGCAGTGAACTGGCAGCTCCCTCCGTCTGCCTCGGCTCTCTGTCTGTCAGCCGGCCGCCAGGCTGCCTCTTCAGACAGGGCTGCCCCCTGCTCAGAGAGGGGCACTCCAGCTTAAACTCTAGGGCTGTTGATTTTTCTCATGGATTTCTCCTTCCCTTGCTGGGCTCCTGAATAGCTAATTGCTGCGACAGATCTAACGAGGGTCTGAGTACTCGGGCTCTTATAGAAAGCAGGGGTGGGGGCTCCAGTAAAATACCAAAGGGAGAGGGAGGCATTGTGCTGGGTCTTACAGCCCTCATCCTTTCTTGGTGCTGTGTTTTAAAATCCTAAGTTATAAACTCTAGTTTACTGTCTAATAACTCTCTTTTAAAAAGGGGAATAAAGAAAACCTTTTAGAGGGCCATACTTATAGAGGATCCATGTGTCTCCAACTCCAGGCTGCCCTGGTCAGCTGAGAGGGACGAGACTTGTCCTCCAGGTCTCTTGGTGTGGCTTTGTTGTCTGTGTTGTGTTGAGACATCCACTATCCCCCCTTCTGTTCCAATCCCTCCTGGCAGTGAGTGACCTCTGACCTTCTGCTTTTCTTTTTTTATTCATCTCTTTCCACTCTTGATTTCTATTGGTAAAATCAAGTAGGCATTCCAGTGTCATAAAATACCGGGCGATGTTTCTAATAACTAACCATAGCATTCATAATTGCATCTTCATCCCTGCTGTCTCCTTCTCTGTGACTTCTTTCTGTGCTTATCAGGCTCTGTGCCTCTCCTGGGGGTAACACCTCACTCTAGACCAGCAGCAGGGACAGTCCTCTTTTCTATCACAAGCCCTTCACATACCCTTGAAGGCTTCCATAGCCGTAGTGAACAATTACCAATAGTCTCAAGCTCCAGAAAGTAATTTCAGTAGAGGAGCCAATGGAACTGAAGGAATACGAACACAGGGCAGTGTGGCAGGAACATGGCACAGGTAAGGTAAAAGATGGAAGAGCCTGTGTTCAATCTCCACTGCAGTCAGTCTCCTGAGAGAATGCTTATTTGCTTTGGCAACACTGATTGTACCCATCGGTCATGCTAATAAAGCACCTTGAATTGAATTGAATGCTTTTTTCTAGTCTCTCGCTAGCCTCCTTGGGCCCCACACTGATAGAGGCACCACATTCTCATGTGGATTTCGACCCAGGGGCTGACCCTGACTAATGTTATGTCAATTGGAACAAATTGCTCACACAACCACTGCATGTATTTATGGGAGACCATGGGACAACAGCAACTGTAGGCTCTGAGATTCTTTTATGGCTTAAGGAAGCCAGAAAGGCAGAGCCTCTGAAGTCTGGCACAGGCTGGAAAGCATTGTGATGACATGACACCCCAATACACAGGACTACCTGCAGGAAATGTGCTATGGCCAATTAGTTGATGATTGGAACGCCTTCTTAGGCTTAAAGGTCTTGGTCTTTAAGGGCCTTTGGGTGACTCCTTTAAACTCCATACCTACTAATACATTCCTTTTTATATACTTCTAGAGAAAAAAAAAATTCTATGAAAGGAAACTGTCATTTGCCATGTTGCATTGTTAGTTGGGTTCATCGTTATTCTGCAAGCACGCAACCACAATCCCACAGGTGTGTCAGGGGGATAACAAAGCAGCAAGCACGGCTTTAGTCTCTGTACAGAACCCAGCAGAGCGCACATATCTGCACAAGCAGGACACGCCATTACCAAGTCAGTCAATATTTAAGAGTCTGAAGCACTCAGTGCGTCCGCCCCTCTCCAGCACATTAGGAGTGGAAATTGATTCCAGAGAAAGAGGACAGTGGATTCTCAGGGTAAACTGAATAGGGAGCAACTATCCAACTGGAGAGACCTGCACAGACGGCAGGCCGTGTAACCGATAAAACTTTGCACACAATTAGCATGAGGCAACTGAGCTGGAGAGAAAACAAACCGCTTTCGCACGGAACAGTGGGCTGGGCAACAGGAATGTGCCGGCACAGCTGGCACAGAGCAGGTCTCTCTGCATCTTTAAAGAGCAACACAACACTGGCAATGTCATGTCATTCAGATGACATGCGGGATCAGACATCTTGCAGAGCTGTTGCATTAACGACAGAGCATTATCTGTATTTGCCTGGCCTCTCCTCCAGCAGAGCACTATCTATATTTGTCTAGTCCCTCCTGATGTTTTCTTTTGACACAAAGGCACCCTGGATTCATTTTTAGTCCTGTATCCATCAAGCAGTGTATTTGAACCCAAGCACTAGCTGTTAAAAAAGGGAGTGACCGAAGATAATGGATAACAGCAGCTCTTGCTAGGACTAAAAATACACAACATGGAAGGGTAAAGTGATTCCAAAAGCCAATAGATTTGTATTACAGTCAATGGAGGGACAGCCAACAACATGGTAATGTTCTGAATAAATGCTTTCTCTGTAAGATCCACTGTCGTCGGGACAGGGGGAATTAAATATGAATTTAACATTAAAAGCATTGACATGCACTACAGGCTAGTTCTCCAAATTGAACATGGCTTGTGCTGTGAGAAGGAACAGTCATTTGGACAGAATAATGCTTTCAGTGTAGTGAAGTAATGTGTAGAATGCTTGTGCAATTTTGTTAGGTTTACTACTGGAGCAACAACAAATACTACGGAGAGGGAAGTCTCTGGCCTGTGCTGCCCTCTGCTGGAATCTTTCTTCCCATTATAAAAACTGTACTGGACTATTCTCTAGAGATAGGCTGGCCAACTAGAGCAGTTTACCTATCTGGACGGATCCTTTCCTTTTTCCAGTTCTAAAGATCCACAACAAAGATTTCACCTGGGGTGAATCTGATCTCTTAATTTGAGCTGGAGAACCTTAAAGCCAATTTAACAGCTCTCAACTGAGCCTGTGCCAAGGACATAGAATGGGTGTTATAGGATCCTTTTGCACATACCAAAGACTGTTGTTTAGAGTAGATGCCCTCTTACAGCAGTCAAATCCCGAAGTCACAAAGTGTGTGTAAACACTTCAGCGCCAGATAGACTTAGCAAGGCCCTACCACACGTGGAAAAAAATGTACCCTTCTGATGTGTCCAATGACAGTCCAGGGACAAAGATGACAGCAAACAAACTTATATAATTGGCTCCATTTCCTTCTAAGGTCTACGTAGATGGTTTTAAAATGGGCAGACACACCTGAAGCAGAGCAAGAGAACCCAAACCAGTCCCCTCACCCCCGTTTTTACTCAGAGCGAGAGGCATTTAAAAAACCTCTGGATACGCAGGACCCATCCCCAGATGCTGCTCTTTCTCCGCAGCATGTGTGACAGTGTAGACAGCATCTCGGATTATTTTGAGAAACAGCACGTCTTTCCACGTGATATACCAGAGGATATGCTCTGACTGACCACAAGAAACAAGGGCCTCTACGATACTCACTGGCACAAAGGACAGCACCTGATTCATATATAATAGGTTGCAGATGTTGATCCTGAGTGCAAGACGTCTTACAAAATAAGGGGGTGCAGTCCCATCCCGTTGTTAATACTGTAGCTAGTTAGCACAGAGACCACCAAGATCCTTCTGGAATGTTCCTGGTGACTCAGCACTTTGTTAAACTGGAATGTGTTGCACTACCACATCTAGACTTGGGATATAGTTTGCTATGCCAGAATAGAGGAAGGTATTTGTGCTGTGAAATCTCTTTAATTGTACAGAATAATCCAGCTGGTAAGAATCTGTCGTCTGTTTTATTCTCTAGAATTGTTTGCGAGTACATTTATCTTTATGCATGAGTATACATAGCATGCATACATTGTAAACCAAACTGGAATCACATGTCCACTGTACAGCTCGCTTAAAACAAGTAAAGGAGGATTCCCTAAACTTGTCATTTATATAAACTTTCCTATTTTCTCATTTAGTGCGCTGACCAAAAGGATCTGTCTTTCGTGATTCTGCTTCGGCCCCAGTCTTCCTAGCGCTCTAAACGATAATAAAGTTAATATGAAACATAAAGCTTCATATTTACTCAATGCAATATTTTAACAACATTATTTAAAATAAAAATATGAAACTGTTAATTTTAATGTAAATTAGGCTGATCGCTTCTTAATCTCAATAATATATGTTGAACACATAACCGATCTAACTCGGCTTCCGCCGAATCGATCTACAGGCTATATTCGCGAAATCATGGTTCCCACGAGTGTCGTAAAGTGTCTCCTCCTCTTTCTTGGTGTCGTACTGACAGTCGTTCCACTTTCCGGCAGCGGGGAGCAGGAAAGCCGAGGAGAGAGTGACGGGTAACGACCAGAGGAGACCTGAGGGAGAAGACTCAAAACTCGCATATTTTAATCGTTATTCCCGGGGGGGATTGGTATTGCTTTTACCTGCCCCTGACCAACAGGATCTCTCTTTCGTGATTCTTCTTCGTCCCCATTTTCCCCTGAATGAAGTGGGATGGCTGAGGTGCCGCCTGGGCCTAGCGCGCTGCCTGCATCCCCGGCCGAGATTATTCCCTTCCCCGGGGTTGGGTGCGCCATACCCGGGGAAGGGGGGGAACGTGGCTGTGGACGAGGAGACGCAGCGATCCCCGGGGTTGGACAGCAGCAACAAGTAAGTGAAGGGAAAGGGACGAGCAAGGCAACTCAGAACCACCTGTACTCTCACCCGGCGGTTCACCACTTCCATACGCAGACACAGCAGCAGCAACAACTCAACGGCTTAATAAACGCCGCGGAGGACGGCCTCGCCTGCACTCACCACAGCCGCCTCCATAGTCATCACCATCACCCGGCTCACAGGCCGTCTGACAGCCCGGGGGCGCTCACCGAGCACCGCGACGGCACCGGCGGGGCTCGGGCTGGCGCCCAGGAGGGCAGCAATTTCGGCGACATCAACAACAGCGGCTGCCAAGGGCAGCACTGCCCGCCGCAAAACCACTCGTACTCGAACAACAACCACAGCATGAACAGCATGCTGACCCTGTCGGAGGAGGCGAGCTGGAGAGGCGACCGCGCCAGGACTGAGCCCCGGCCTTCCCCTGCCGACCCCCCGGCCGTGGCAGGCCTCGGGACTCCAGGGGCTGGCGTGGAGCTGGAGGCCGCTCTGGACGGCTCTTACACCGTGGAGGCAGCGGTGTCGGAGATGGCGAGGGTGGTTCTGAATAGCTCTGGCGGAGAACAGGGGGAGGATGAGGAGCCGATCCAGTACGTGCGCTATGAGTCTGAGCTGCAGATGCCGGACATTATGAGGCTGATCACTAAGGACTTGTCGGAGCCCTACTCCATTTACACCTACAGGTACTTCATCCACAACTGGCCTAAGCTCTGCTTTCTGGTACGTACACTGCCATTTTACTGGTGAAGTGGTGTGTTGTGCGGCTTTGGGGTGGGTTGTGGGATATTAGCTGCATGAGTTGGGGTTCAGATCCCTGTAGCAGAGCTCTGCACACACCTTGTCGCTGTGGCTAAACTAATAAATGGACGTTGAAGGTCCATGTATTGTCTAATTGAATTGCTCATTTTAATTAAAGTCTTTTGTTACTCTGACATAGCATTTTATGAGCTTTTACTGGAATATCACTTCACTCGTATCGGTATGGTAATAAAATACTTCCATTTTTGTCCAAGTGGTGGGTAATACCGAGATGATTTCCAAAACCTCGCTCTGACACTGAAGGACCTGTCGTTTCGACTCCTCTAACTGGGGCTTTTAGTTGTATGATGTTTTAATATTTCCTCTTATCCTCTCATACTCTTAGACTTTTTTGGGCGAAAGCGCCAAGCATATTTGATATTTAATTTTAAAGTTATTAATTACTTTGTAATTGACTAAATTATGATGTGAGAAACTTGAACCATAGGGCAGAGAGGGTAGAACTGAGGCTAAAAAAAGTATCACAGATTACTGTTACAAGGTGGCAGTCAGATTATGATGTTTTATAAGCTTTTACCATTTTAAGTAGGTATCAAAATGGTTTGGCTGCTGTCAAACTCATTCAGACCCATGGAAAGGTAGGAACAGCCCTGAACAGAAAAGTTTAATGTGATGAGACCACGTTTTCCATTACCCTCTCTGTTAATAATGCAGTTGTTTCTTTGCAACCAACTGATAAGTGCTAAACTAAAACAGAAGCAAACAAACCCCGGCAAACTGACTGTGTGATAACAGGAGATGAAACTAGATTGAAAGATTTATTAATAAGACTGATGTTTAAGCGTGTTTGGAGATAGTGAATTCATCTCTAATGGATATGGGAAATGTGTATAATGGACATGGTGCTGCACGGGAGAAGGCTCTGTCACCAGGTGTGGAGTCTGGTGTTTTATGAGGAAGAAGGCCAAAATCAAGGACATCAGGTGGCTGTTAAGTAGTAGGGAGGCCTAGTCATCTTATCTTAACAGGTGTCAAAACAGAAAACTTCAAATCAGTTTTTCGGACTCATTTAAGATGTTAGTAACAAATGTACAAGTTCGTACCAAGTAGGGGTGCGGTACTAGGTCTCAATTTAACTACGAACTCTCTTACTAAAGTCCCATCAACAGCAGGAACTGGGAAAGCAGAAGGGGTGTGGTTGTCATAACTACATGAGTTGAGGGCAGTAACTGGTTCTTTAATATTGCTATGAATAAATTGCATGAATGGGTTACTTTGCTCAGCAGAGGTATTGGCTAGTTCCAACATTTTATATTTTACTGATAGTGGATAAGGTGACTGAAGTATTACTGTGATCCTGGGTCTGGCTGCCTTAAGAGTATGTTTGTGTTCCCACTGATGTTGTGCATGAACTGTCAGCCCATAGAAGGCTTATTTCTTTAAGCAATATTTTTTTTGTTTAAAGTTCTTTATGCTTCCAAGTGAATGGACTGTGCTCGGCACTAGACCTGCATGCAGTCCTTTTGCCCTGCCTTAACATTGCAAAATAATCTGCACAGCACCGTGTTTGTAAATTGTGTATTATATCTTCTTTAAAAATCACACCCTGAAGAAGGAAAGGGTGTTACACCAATTTCCTGCTACATCAGGATCTCAATTAAGGGAGCTTTCATTTCAGATAGTTTCTTCCTTGCTTCAGGTTAACTTATGCTTTTTTTTTTGCTTTGAATATCCATTTCAGCATTTTCTTTACTCAAACTGATTATTGCAAGTATTATGCAGCTTGCATTGAGTATCATTATGTGCCTAGTATAAGACTGAGCACATCCTTTGAAATGATATATGGTGGAATGATGAGGTTAATTTGAGGGAGGGCGTGTAGCCTAGGGCAGGAAAGACAGGTTTTTCTTAGCAAATTCAGTTCATGCTGCTGACAGAAATGGTCTTACTTTACAATATGTGAAGCTAAGGAAATATTTTCATGCTTTTAAAGACTGTAATGTTTGGTCTTTTGAAATCTTTGGATTTATCATTTTTTTAATTTCTTGTACAAGCATGTAGATTTAGAAAAATTGGGCAGAGTTTATCATTCTTCTTGCAGTAGGTCTAGGAACAGTGCCCTTATCTGTAATGCTGACGCATGACCTTAGTGCTGGCTCTCTTTGAAACTTGATGGCTTTTGTTGTCAGTGAACACTAATGTGATTCATAGGACATTGGCTTGAGATGGTGACTCAACAGGTAAAGACACTAATATGCAACTGGGGAATGTTTTATTGTTACTTGAAATTGAAAATTGCTTGAATGTCTTCTCACAATGAAACTTCTGTTTGAAGGATATCATTTTATCAAGGTTTTATGATGAAGCTTAATTATTGCTCATAAAGTAACAGCTGATGGAGTGCTCATTGATAAAGTAGATCAAGTCGGGGTAAAGTCAGGTGTGGGCCAGTGCGTGTCTTGATATTCCTAACTGTGGAAAAACCCAGTCTGAAGTGACCTGCTGTTGGCTCCTGGTCAGGGTTGAGTGACTTTGCCCAAATTCTAGACTTCTTTAAAACGCTGACTGTTCATAACATCTGTTCATAATGGTTGCTGTGTGGAAAGTGAAGTGTTTTTTTCCCTTCATTTCTCAAGTTGTAAACAACCATGTTGGCAGAGAAAAGAGCTGTAGCTTTCTGCTTCAGAGCCTGCTTACTACAGCCCCTGCCTGTCTGAGTGAGCACCCCACTGAGCAGGCTCTGGGAATAAACCTGGGAGAGGCAGGTTCTCGTGCAGAGTGCTGCAGGTCAGACCAGCACATGCCTTATACACGCAGTATCCACAGTGTCCGCAAGCTGCTGGAGACATGGTATGTTGGTTCTGGGTCCTAATGCAGGGTAATGACACTACTGGGCAATGAAGAGGCTGTTTCTTACACGTATGTGGTTTCACAGGTTTCTTCTAGAAAGCTCAGTGAGAAGGTCTGATTTTGAGTCTGCCAAGATTCATGCACTGTCAGTGGAGCTTTCCCCCCAAGGAAAGTGGATTGCTGATAATCCAATGTTTTACTCCGAAAATGAATCTTGATTTTTCTCTCTTGTGCCAGCCTTGCTTGCTTGACTAAAGCACAGAAAGGTAGGATAGTGTTCAGAAGAGAAGCAGTTATGCCTCCTGCCCAGGTGTGCTCGGGCCTTGGAGGCACACTCACTAGCTCTTCCCTCCAAGAGCTGTTACGTTGAATCATATTCATTAGTTTCCCTGTTGGAGGCCGAAGTTCTCTGGTTGCCATTGTATATACATTTCATCTCCATAGCATTTCATTGTATAGTATGTATTCAGGAATATCTTTTCCACTTCCTGGTGCTTATGCATAACAGCTCAAGAAGAAGTCCAAAGGAATGAGCCCCGACAATGACTGCTTTCCCATGTCAGTGTTGATCGAGAGATCGCAGTCCCCGATCCCTGTTCACCTCAGCAGTGGAAGGGCTTAGTTTTTGCACTTGGGAGTCCTTTACTGTCCTTTACTGCAGACTACAGCATGTGTGTTTAACTCTGAACTGCACTGAGCAGTGGGTGTTGTGCTGACCTGTGTGTTGCTCTGTGTTGTGCGTGTCCCGCAGGCGATGGTGAGGGAGGAGTGTGTGGGTGCCATAGTGTGCAAGCTGGACATGCACAAAAAGATGTTTCGACGGGGCTACATTGCCATGCTGGCTGTGGACTCCAAATATAGGAGGAAAGGCATCGGTAAGCATTCCCTCTGCTGGGCTGCGGGGTCAGTGGCACTTTAATTTCCTATTTGTAAGACATCTGGTGCTTTCATACCTACATCATAACCCTGCTTTGCAATCGGCCTTCTCCTTTATTCTTCTAACTTGTCAGCTGTCTGTCTCTTTCAGGTACCAACCTGGTAAAGAAGGCTATCTATGCCATGGTGGATGGGGACTGTGATGAGGTATGTGCTTTAGAAAAGAGCAGCCATTTTCAGTAAAATTACCCAAAGTAAATGGGGAGTAGATACCATTTTACAGCTAAAGGGGAAACTGTTTCATATAAAGTGCATGTAATCTGATGAGGAGACTACTGAACGTGACTCCACACAGCTTTATTGTAAGATTCTGTTTAGTGAATGTCACAAATATTTTCCGCAAAGTGAGTTAACATCAGTGACTAAGTTATTCCCATGGTTAACCATATACGGTGATTGATTCATGTGATGTGCATGTAATGGAGGTGATGAGCTACTTCCCACAAAGTATTGCATCAGGTTTCCAGTTTTTACATTCAAAAGTTTTCATTTTAAAGAAAAATACCTGCAATGCAGCAGTGACTTGTTTTTGTAAGGTTACGTCTTCTGTGTAGTGACGTCGCAGAGACTTGCTGTGAGGGTAGTTTGAGCGATTTTAACGTCAGGTGTTTTCTCTCTCTCTCCCCCTCCCCTGGGGTGCTGCGCAGGTGGTGCTGGAGACGGAGATCACTAACAAGTCGGCCCTGAAATTGTATGAAAACCTGGGCTTTGTGAGGGACAAGCGGCTCTTCCGATACTATTTAAATGGGGTGGACGCTCTGCGACTCAAACTTTGGCTTCGTTAGCGGGGGCGCGCCAGCCTGGTCACGGGTTCAAGGAACAAGCTCCTTCTCAACACCACAAACAAAATGGAAACCAGTCGAACATGCAGAAACTATTAAAGAGTTTAAAGTATATATTAAAAAACAAAAGAGAGAGATTGAGTTCCGCAGGCGCCCGGGTGCAGAGGGCTTCTTGCGACCGGGGAGCCTGGGCGGTGGGCTTGTTGCGGGGGTCCGGCACGCGTCCCGTCGCACAACGAGCACGGAAACGCCGGCAGCTGCGGCCACACTGGGCCGCCTCCCACGCGTCGAACCAGTGGACTGCGGTTTTTTTTTTACAAATCATTACAGCAAGAACGGATCACACAAACAGGTATAACCACCTGCAGCGAGCGCGACATCCTGACATTTGTGGAACTTATTTTTATCGTAGTTTTTTTTCCTTGCGTCTCGTGTGTCGGAATGAGTGTGTGGGTGTATGTGTACGTATTGGTTTTTTTCTGTGTGTTGTGAGAACATGCTGGAAAGGTGCTCTGTTCTATACGGAAATCCTGCTTCGCTCGGCGGTGTGTCACTCCGGGACGAGCAGGTACACACACATGCTCGTGCATGCGCAGGTTTAAATCGTTTGAGTGGAAGCTGAAAAATAAAATTAAAGCCCATTCACACCTCTGAGGAAGGATTGACAAGTCACAAACATAGAGGCAGAATATCTCCCCCTCATCTGATGCCAGTGCATTGATTAAATTTCTGAACCTGGCCAAGATTTCTCCCCTGTGATGTTTTTTTTGGTAGACATTGTTTTTAAAAGTGATTATTTTACTGTCGAGGTACAAGTGTATTTTTAATTGCCATTACGTGACCGGTGTATGCCAATGTAAAACAGTTGAGATGAACCTTAGTTTGAAAGTGATTCGAGTGTTGGGTTTTTCCCTAAAAACAAGTTCTGATTTAGTTTTTATTTTGCTTTACATATCAGAAGAAATAGCCATCGATAAATGTGAGCACCATTTCTAGTTGGAGTTCAAACTAGAAGTTACAGCAGAAATGGTGCAGTCTGTCCTGAGTTGACTGCTTTAAATCCTCAGACTCGGAACGCGAAACTGAAATTTGCCCTTTGAGGAAATAATGTAATTCAGAGGGGTCATCCCCAATGGGAATGAAAGGATTTTTTACCCTTTCCTCCTCCGTCTGGGTCAATTTAACGTTATTCTAAAAATGTGTTAGTCTCATCTACGAGAAAAGGCATCTCTTGGTGAGAGCTAGGCAGACCACAAAGTCTCCTCCTTTCAGATTTTCCCCAAGGGTCCTCCCCAGAGTGATCGAAGACTCCCACCCCCTCCCTTTTTGTTTTTGGTGAGTTTTGGACTTATGATCTGAAGGCAGAAACTGCCTTGGAAGGTTTTTAAGCATTTAAAGAAAAATGACAGACGTGGTGCATTTTTGGTGCATTCTCTTGCTGGCAAATAATAAAATTATGCATTTACAGCTGCTTTTGATGTATTTTTTGCTTTCTTTAATGATGCTCTTACGCACTGAATTTCTTTCTCGCTGCTCTCTGTGTATGTGTGTGCGTTTCTGTCTTCTGATGACAATGGCTGACATCTAATTCCTGTCACTCCTTTCACTCTACAAGGTAAAGTGTCACAAATACACGCTCCCTCATTAAATATAGCCTGCACAATGACCGGTGTTTGACCATGCCTAGTCAGGTCTAGTTCTGTAGTATATTAAACTCATTACCCGTCAAGTGTACAGTATAAAGTTTTGATTTGTAAGTATCTCAAATCAGATCTCGGATCAGACCAATGCACTGTTCAATTGCTGCAAGTTCCATTTAGTCCCTTGCTTCTCAATGCCGATCTTCAGTTACGGTAGTGTGCAGGCAAGCCCTCAAAGTGGCATTCGTGTTGTTTTTTAAAGTCTGGAGGTTTCTCAGTCTTTCTCATCACTGACGATCATCGTTCTCATCGGAGTAGGTGCTTCCAATTTGTCCCAAGGATGCCGTGTCCTCTGGGTTTTATTCCAGTCAAGTTCTGTTACGTCACAGAACCTTTAATAGAGTTAATCATTTGAAAGTTATTTTCAGCGACGTTATAAGGTTTTCCTTTAGTTAAATTTTGCATGCAGCTTTGGAGTAGGTGATTGCTTTGGAAATGGTCCAGTAAAGCAACTTTAGTTTAGTTAGATTGTTCGGTTTTGGGGTTGGTTAACAGAGTTTGTGGGGCATGTAAAACCCAACAGGTACCAGCAATATCACCTTGTAGCTTATACCTGGCAACCCACTAAAGCTCAGAAGGTTTGAGCCTGGTCAGTACCTGGTTGAGAGACCTTCTGGGAAAAACTAAGGTTGCTGCTAGAAATGGTGTTAGGAGGGCCAGTAGGGGGGTGTATACCCTGTGGTCATTAAGGGTGTTTTGGGAGTCTTGGTTGTTGGATGCTAGATGGAAGCTAACATTTGACCAGAATGCTTCTACCAAGTAACCTGGTCAAGAAAGGTTGACAGTCTACTGACATCTGCTCATGAAGGGAGAAAGTGGGTGTGTACCAAGAGCACCAGTAGCAGGTGGTCTGCTGAGCTTAAATACAACTCCTTTTGAAGTTTACTTGAGATCCAGAAGTTCTGCTGATGTCCTCGTGCATCACTCCCTTTCTTTAAGATCTCCACAATGTTGGATTGTAGAAGCAGAGCAGATGAGAAAACGGCAGAGGCTGGTGTTTCTCTTGGCCATATTTCAGTGGCATTGCTGAGCAGGTAAGTGTGGTCTGAGGGTGTTGCAAAAGGGGACACATAATCCTAATGCTCAAGATTTGCACCAACAGAAGGAATCTAATAGAAATCTTAAGTTCAAATCCACCCATTTTTTATGGATATAAGTCTTGCTGATACTGAAAGTCTTAAGCCGTTGGGGGTGGAACCAGTGGGTTACAGTGGGTTAACAAGTGGGTTACAGTGAAGTAAAGTGTGCACTATCCTATAAACTAAGATGATACAAACTTTCCACATCTTGTCCTATGAACTTATTGCTCACTATCATGGTCCAAGCTGTTGTTAGAATATAGTATATGCCCTTCAGATGTAACTAGGCTTCCGCATCTTTCTGTGGTAAACATTTCTACAGGGAAAAAAAACCCACTCGGAAGAGGTTGTCTTTCATAGATCTGCAATACATCTGTCATTGCTTTGCTCACACTTGTCAGTCAAGACCAAAAAATACACCTGCTTTCCACCTATGAACACTTAACAGGCAGTAATTCTAGGCAGTAAAATGATTGTATATAGCCCCAATATCATTTGGGTTTGCAACACTTATTCTTCTTGAAATCATGAAAAGTGACTTTACTTTCTCACTTAAATATTTAGACAATGGTCTTCTAATGTGATGCCGTTCTGTCTGCCTTTCTTTCTCCCAGCAAATTCAATGTGTATTTGTAGCTGCAGATCTGAAATGCACTACTGAAAATATACAGCGATTTCAGTCTCGGATTTACAGTGTAGACCGTAGACATTTGTGGATTCGTGGACTTCAGGGATGTCCCAGCTGAAATCAGATCATTAGAAGTGAGACTATGAGCCACTGATTCTGATCAACTGTGCAAGTGCATGATAAACTAGTAAATCTCAGTTTCATGGGTTTGATCCATGTGAGGGTGTAGAGTTGCAGGACCCTAAAACAGAGCAAAACATGAACTGGATATTTGAACATTTCTTCCTTATTTTGCATTAATGTCCATAAAGAGAAGTGATATGTGACAATAAAACTTAAATTGTCATTAATATATATAGGAACAAGTAGTAGGTTTATTCCATGCTGAAAAAAAGAAGAAAGAGAACACAACGTTTCGGCCGTGGAGCCTTCTTCAGGTGTTCCACATCTTTTTTTCAGCATGGAATAAACCTATTGTTCCTTTGCAGCCTACGTATGCTGACGCAGCTACCCACCTGAATTAATATATATATATATTAAATGTATTAGTCTTCTTTTTCGTTGGTGCAATCTACTCTAGGGCCTGCAGCTGTCAGGTGTTTTTGTAAACTGCTAGAACTGGCCAACCCTGTGCCTTGGAATAAAGGCCTGTCCTATCATGTTGGAGGCCATTTATAATGCAGTCAGTTTGATGTGAGCAGGGGGGGAAACCGAAAGGGAATTTGAGTCGATTTGTGCCGAGTTCAGCTGGGGAAGGAGTTGGCTTGCAGGATAATTTTATTGTCTATTAACCCCTCTCTCTTCCTTTCATTTTATTTGCTTCAAGATGCCCTGCAGGATATCTTCTTATTTCAAGAAAACAAATCTGGTAATAAATCATATTTTTTCACATTTTTGCAATGTGGCTGCTAAACCCACAATGAGAGCGCTAAGTGAAGGTTTGAGAAATAAGGGACTGAGGTGTTCTGTGGCTGGTTTCTCTCGGCAGGTGTAATGCTCAGAGCTTGTCTCAAGGGAGGGGACAAGCTTCAGTGTCTTTGCCGAGTGTGTGTTGCACTGCAAAGACAGCTTGTTTTTAACAAGGATGTCATTCATACAAAAAAGCCACCAGAGTATGGAAGTAAGCTCACTTTTAACTCGTTCCCCGTGCTTGCTGGTGTTATAATAATAATAATTATTATAATAATTGCTTACACTTATATAGCACTTTTCTGGACACTCCACTCAAAGCACTTTACAGGTAATGGGGTCTCCCCTCCACCTCCACCACCCCCACCCCCACATGGATGATGCGACAGCAGCCATAGTGCACCAGAACACTCCCCACACATTAGTGGAAAGGAGAGCAGAGAGTAATGAAGCCAATTCATAGACGGGGATTATTAGGAGGCCATGATTGGTAAGGGCCAATGGGAAATTTGGCCAGGACGCCAGGGTTACACCCCTACTCTTTTCGAGAAATGACCTGGGATTTTTAATGACCACAGAGAGTCAGGACCTCGGTTTTACATCTCATCCGAAGGACGGCGCTTGTTTACAATTAGAACAGGCATTATTTTAGGCATTAGAACCCACGTGGACCACAGAGTGAGCGCCCCCTGCTGGCCAATAACACCTCTTCCAGCAGCAACCTTAGTTTTTCCCAGGAGGTCTCCCATCCAGGTACTGACCAGGCTCACACCTGCTTAGCTTCAGTGGGTTGCCAGTTGTGAGTTGCAGGGTGATATGGCTGCTGGATCATGTTTAAATACTTTCTTGAAAGGAAGGGTTTCAGAATGGACAGCCTGGCTGAGTAGCTTGTTCCATGCTCCTTCAATCCTTTGCACACAGTACTGTGCAGAAATCCTTACCTCTCAGTACTTTACTAGAATTTCTTTAAATATGAGTCATTTTGTTCGATGATCACAGTTAATCTGTTTCACAGTTAAGAAATAGCCTTGTAGAGAACAGCACCTGATAATGTGTTGACTAGTAATTGATTAGTGATTGGTAGATAGAATGGATTCATACTACAGTGCTTCGTATTGGTTGTTCATACAGTGTATGGTTAACCCTGACTCATGAAGATTCCAATGAATGTGAGCTACATTTGCGAAGTAAGACTTTTATGTTATTTTTATGTTTTTGATATCTCATCAATAATAGTGAGATAAATAAGATTTTCTCAATGAGTATAATTGCACTGACATTCAGCTATGTCACAAATGTAAGAATTAAGGTTAACCTTTGAAGGCCGTGGCGGTAGAAAAATGTTTATGAATTTCGAGTCTGGGCTTCCAAGAAGAAGAGTTTCATCGAGCAATTATCGAACTGTATTAACAACCAGAGCTGTGACAATTGTCACAAACCACAGTGAAGGTTTTGAGTCAATTGTTTTTGTTCAAAGTCATACATATACCGTACCTTATTCATGTATTTGAGTTTTTAATCGATATGTCTATGTACATTAATTTACCATCAGGATTTATTAAGCCACGATTGCCCAATATTACTGAGCATTACAGTGGATTAATAGACCAAAAAGAATATTTCCTCGCACCCTAGTCCGCCCCCACTTCAAATAAATAAAATAATGTAGTACCTATAATTCGGTATTAAGAATTAATCGTCACACAGACGCACTTCACGCCTGCAAGTGCTGTTTTGTGGAACGGCAATCCATTAGAGCCGAGAGCTTTTGTTAGACGCTTTTCGCCTGCAATATCTTAGTAATCGCTAGGTGTCACCCTACACTGAATTATTATAATTCACCGGCGTTTTCATGGGAAGCCTACTGTTTAACCCTGTATAATACCATCTTGCTATGAAACCACCTGATTTGTCTTCATAATGGGTATTATTTAAATTCCGTTTTATCTGTAGTGGAAAAGGAAACCTCACAGAAACACCCGAGTAACGCTTTGTCATGTTAATTATGTCAGCTGGAGGGGGAAAAAAAATCTAGACCTACACGGAAAGGGTTTTATTTTCCTGTTTGCTGTGTAATTCACAGAGAATAAACCAACACCTCGTTAATTAGCACTTCCTTCACATTTAAAGAAATAAAGATTTTACTATTTAGAAATGCGTAGAAGGAAAAGTAGAGTAGGTCTTTCCAGGGTGATATAACCAAATAGCTTAAACATCAGGATTAAAAACTTTCAAAACAGTTTTCTTTCTGTAGAGCAAGAGCAATGCAATAATTTAGTTAAAGATCATGCAGTTCTACCATAAACAGGACTGAAGTTGCATATACATATACATGTAACACATTTATGCATTTTCACTTTAGAAAATTTGTCTTCTTAAAAATAAAAATGCTAAAAATGCTCTAGTGGTTTAATATAATTAACAAAACATTGCTGTGCAAAGTCCAGTACAGATTTCTTGTGGCTCTCCTTCCCTAAAAAATGTCTCAAAACACTTATCTATGCTGTATTAGTTTCTCATGAAAATCTAGACTAGTGTCTAGGGATGTGCACTGCATTTTAAATTGTAGTCAAGTTGTACCAAATTCCTGTCCTTTAGTCTGTGAAATGCAGGTTTAATGAAAAGCTCAGCATTTTCCAGAATGAATGCTGTCCTCTGGGCCTCACGGAAAGATCCGTGCTGAACTGGGCTCTTCACAGCAGAAAGAACACTGGGAGCACAAATATCTCCTCTCTCCCTATCTGCCACCCACACTCAGGATCATGGTTGACACATTGCAGCCTTCTGAACTCCAGCTTCGTCTTTCTGGTAATTGAGCACCAGCAACTTTTTTTAATGTAGATATACCCCTCCCCCCCTCCACCCCCGCACCACAATGGGCCTAAAAGTCAAGGTCTAGCTGGTCTTGGAACGAGGGGTTAAGTTCAGGCCTGATTCTGGTCAGTCTGCCTGCGATCTTCTGCCTTCGTCTGCTCAGGGCCCTGCAGGCCCAGTCCTCCTCCTCAGGCCTCCAGCAGGGATTCTCGTCTTTCTCTCTGGCAGATCCTGTCAGGCCAGCACTCACCTCCCAGCAGGCCTCGTCTCCCCGCCCCCTGGCCAGCCTGCTGGCGCTCAGTCGGCTGCGCAGATCTCCTTCCCCTCCCAGCATCCAGGTCTTTGTTTTGTCTGCTCCCTGTCTGGACTGCCTGGTGCAGGTTTCTGGAACCTCTCCCTGTCTGCGGTGCTGTGTCCTGATTGCCTGGAGCCCACCTTGCTCCCCGTCGGAACGGGAGCTGTCCTGCCCCTGTTCCTCCCAGACTGACCCCGGGCTGCTGGAGCGGTGCTGAGTGGTCCTGGGACTCTCAGCCAACTCCCACTCCTGTAGTCCAGGACTAGCCTCCACCAGGTCCAGGCCCTCTCCACTGGACGAGTCCCAGAAGATGTCTCTTTCAGCGGGCCTCTTGACCAGACGTACGTTACGCTTCCCTTTCCCTTCCAGCTCTCCTCTGTCTGTAGGGGTAGCAGAAATGAGGAAACACAGCCCATCACGACACGAGGAAGATTATTTCTTTGCCTCGCGTTTTGTGTTAAGTAAAGGAAGGTTTTCAGTGTGGCTATGACATGAATTCAGATTAAACTAGCTGACAAAGTCTGGATGTCTCTTGCCATGTCATCACATCCTACAGTAGGGCTCTGCCCTGGGGATGCTGTCTGTTATTAGGCAGCTTTTGAGCAGGGAGTGTGTGCAGATTGTTTTAATGTTTCTTTATTAGCCCTATACAATTTTCTTGCATTAGGAATTAATCTTTTCACATACCCCAGCTTTTCTCCATGGAGACACAGACACACAGACAGGAAGAGAAGCTTGGGGTCAGAGCGCAGGGTCTGCCATTGTACAGCGCCCCTGGAGCAGTTAGGGTTAAGGGCCTTGCTCAGGGGCCCAATGGAGTAGGATTCCTCTGCCAGCCGCGGGATTTGAACCGGCAACCTTCCAGTCACAGGCACAGATCCTTAGCCACAGAGCCACTGCTCCTTGTGTGTCGCACCTATACCCACTGTTCCTCCTGTCTCTGCGTTATCTTTCCTGCCTTGTTTATTAGCTGCAGGAACACAGCCTGATTACAGCACAAACACGTGGAGGGAGGTGCTCTCATCTCACCGCTGGCCATGCAGACTGTCCCTCTGTGCCCCCTGTTGCCCCTCTGCTCCAGGATCTCTCGGACCAGGCGTCTCTGTGCTCGGCGCTGCTCGTGAGACTGACGACTGAGAGCCGCCTGGGCCTCCAGAACTCCCCCCTGTCGTGGGACAGAGACATAGTGACAATGGTAAGGGCGGTGCTTGTCGATTTAGGCTGTGCTGGGGCAAGCAAGCATCACAGAGAAATAATGGAAAGAAATGAGTATTTTTCATTGAATGGATGCTTACTTAATGCCAACGTGACTTTATCTGTTTTATTGGCAGGATCTTTTCAGCCCTACAGCTTAGAGACAGACATGAAAAAGCAGAAGTGAGATGCCAGTTTTTCCAGCTGTCTGTGGTGTGCATCCACTGGGAAGAAAACCTGCCAGGAGGAACAGGTCAATGTGGGCCAGCCCTGCAACACAGCTCTCTCTGGGGTTTCCACTCCACCAACACAGTAATCACGGCCCCTGGGACAGCTGTCACGGGCTCAGCGCACACCAGCTGTCTCTCCCACGCAATTCCACAGAAACCCACTGCTGCACCTTCACACAGCCACTCACTTCTGGCACGAACTAATGGGAGAAAGTTCAGGGCATGGAAAAAGGCAGCAGACGAGTAGAGGATACAGGGACAGAGCTCTGTGTCAGTCAAGAGCAGTCCAGTGCTCTAATGCGCCTGATCGCTCGCAGTCTGAGTGAAGGTTGTGAGATTCTGTACCTGCAGTGGGCCAGCCTTGCCAGAGCACTCCCTCTGCCTGTGGATGGGGGAGCGGAGAGAGTCCCCACCTTTTGGTAGTGTGCCCTGACATGCAAGAGAGAATGCAAGGGTCAGAGGGCGTGAGAGGGTCCCAGACACAGGAGGAGTGGGGTGGGCAGAGAACAGTGTTAGAATGGAGATGAGAGGTAGGTGGAAAGAGCTGTTACAGCCCAAGGTGATGGATGTACAGTACCTACCAGACCAAGAAAGCTTGAAGAGCTCCATTCAATCTATAGCTAGGGAAACAGTTTTCAATACCTAGTTTTTGTTACTGTCTTTAAGATAACTTCCCGAAATAGGTAAACCCAGCCTTCAGGCTTTGTTGGATTCTATCTGTAGATGAGAACATAAATCAGCCCATTGACATGAGCTCTCCTGGCAGAACTATGAGGAGGCGGAGCTTCTTACCAGGGCCGTGTGATTGGCCACTTCCTCGAAGAGAAATCCAGCGATGGGCAGGGCCAGTGGCTGCAGTCCCTGCCACAAGATCAGTCAATGTAGAGACATCAGTGTGCACAAGGTCACTACTTCATTATTGATCACTGCTGTCTTAGATCTGGAGATTCATGTGAGAACTACTGTATATACAGGAGAGCACAGGGTAATCATCTCTGAAACTGACATTCTGCTGCTGCCCTTGGTGAATGTTGTCATATACCTGGATAGTCTACATGCCCTGAGTGGAATAGCTACTGGACCCTGCCGATGTCTTGACGTTACAAGAGGCAGCTTTTTTCTCCGGTAAAGAAACTACAGCTAACGTGAGTTTTTTTCTGATCGTAGGTTTGTGTTGAGTTTAAGCTCCGCACAAAAGCAAAACACAGACAACACAAGGAACCTGCGGTTGTGTTATATAGGTTCCAATAATCAGTCTCCAGGGCTATGAAATAAACAGCATAACATTGTCCAAAACCATAATATATATACAGGTACTGTATATACTGTACATTGACTATGAGACAAAGTCTCTGTAGTTTAAAAATGAACAGCTCAGAGCATAGCCATTGCCCATAATCAGTCCATGCTGGTGTACCACAAACTCAGTTTCTTCACCAATTGGAGAAACACCGTTGTGTGCTGACCTGTGGCCTCTGAGGAGGGTGGGACTTAATGATGCTGCCGCCCACACTGGTGCCAGGAGACTGGAGGCCTGCAGACAACAAGACACAGGGAAACATCAAGCAGTCACCACCACATCGCTAATGCCAAGGAGCATTTCTCTTTGTAAAAGCAATTTAAAGTAACAGTAAATGTAGTGATGAAAGAACATGGAGCATTGTATTAAATGCACCTGGGACAGAAGAGAGCATCAGTACAAATATTTCTGTTTGACCTACTCGTGAGAAAACTTAAAGAGACCAGGGACTCCATTTTGAAGGGTGTTCTTGCAAAATCTCTACAGGGCCTTTCCTGCTGTCCCAGAAGGCCGCAATCCTGGTGCACACACGTTGTCACGATCTCTCTCACTGACAGTTTCAAAGCCTAATCTGCCTGTCAGTGCTCAGTGCTCTCCAGGGGAATCCATATTGCTTGGATTATGTACACACTATACAGGAAGACTACTATGGCACAGCACTTGTTTTAATTGGGGGGGAAGTCTAAAATAAAGTGATTATTTTTCATAATGCTTCCTCTTGTTCTGGTTTTAGTTTACATGTGAACTGGGCTCATGTCCAGAACCTGCAGCTGACATGAACAAAAACCTTATATACACCCCGTCTGTGACTGTAGCCACAGCTGTGACAAACTGATCCATGACCTACCTGCAGAGCGAGGGGCGAAGCTATAAGTCATTTCCTGTCTCAGGGGAGGCAGCTGTGTTGTCCTTCTCCTTCCCAGAGTCCCTTGCTGCTCCTGGTCACTGTGCAGTGGTTCCATCGTCCAGTGTGTGCAGGGTTGTCTCTTTTCCAGCCGCACATGGCTCGCTCTCTGCTCAGAAGGGCTCTGGGATGGAGCCACCTGCACCGGCTTGGGTCTGGTACTGCTGGTGCCCATAATCCAGAAACCACCTGGTCCTGAGCAGAGTTTCTGTAATTAACCCTGAAATTCCCTTGTTAATCCAGGAATGAATTTGCTCTTGAACTGGTTCCCCCAGTGGTTATATGATTTTCCCAGTGGCCATGCATGATAGAGTCAAGGTCTCAGAACGGTCCAGTTTTTTAGGGTCAATAACACTTCTGGCTCTTATGTCTTGAAACCTTTGAAAACTGAAAGGTCTTCTAACACAAATTATTATTTCATCCAAAAGCAGGACTGTCGGGTGTTTCATGGGCTCCTTTTGTGTCCTCCAGATAAAGCAGACAGCTGTTTTAATTGTGGGCTCCCACAACGCTGAGAGAATTGCTGCATAGCTGAGTTCGTCTGTGGCTCCATGTGCAAAGTTTTGTTCATGTCCGACCACGCTGCGCTGTTTCTGTACTTACCCAGACTCACCTGATGAACACCTCTCAGTCCCTGGGTATTTGTAGACCCTTCAGTTAGTCAGTAACAGGAAACAGAAGGACTGTGCCAGGAAAGTCTGTTGGCCACAGATTGTGGGGTGTCCTCGAGTCCCTCTGCCTGCCAGTCTGTCAGTCTGTCTGTCCTGTTCACACCCAGTCACCCCAGTCTGCCCCGAAACACTCTCTTCCAGGGCATGTTGATATACTACTGGAGGATTAATTATTGTCACCTACGTTTTCTGTGGTCAAACAAGTATAAATGTCTCTCTCTTTTTGTTATCGTCTTTTCCACACCCCAGTGAGCTGGGTTTCCATGGCAACTCCCTCCCCACAGGTTAGACTGTAACCACACCGAGTTAACAATTGAATGCCTTAAAGTACCCAGACGTGCAACCACCCTCTTCTGTGCGCTCCCCTCCTGCTGCCCAGCCATGTGTACAGAGTGTGGAGCAACAGGGAGCACAGATCAGCCTGCTTGCTCAGTGTTAGGAGAGTGCAGAGAAAGGGTGCACCCTGGTGAGTGTGTGTGGTTTTCTGCCTGGGCTGTGCCAGCTGGCAGCATGACCTGTTCATGACAGAGCGGAGCTGCACCCTCAGGAAGCTGTGCCAGCTTTTCAGGTAGCCTTCCACAATCACCAAGTATTCCCCCTGGAACTTGATTTGGTTCAATTAGGTAGGAAAATCCAAAGGGGTCCCCTGTCCATCCCTTGACCCCAGGCATGCCTATCTTGCGAGAGCTGCCCTCACCCCCTACCCCACGGAGAAGAAACCTCTTGGGCCCATTCTAGGCAGAGGTCTGGGCCCTGTTCAACTGGAATGGAGACACAGGCCAGACAAGTCACCAGGTCTGTGGGAGCAACTGATGAACCCTTGACACACAGAGCCAGGTTATTTCCATACAAGCATCTGCTTGCTTGTGCCCAGGCAGCTCAGTATAGGAACATCGGAAATCGGCTGATGTTTGATGGATAAGACTTTGCTCGAATTGTTTTGAACAGCATGTGTGGTCCCCCCTTTTGGTTCTGATTGTAGCCCATAAAGCAAGACGTTTGACAGAGGAGGCTGTATCATCCATATATGGGTGGTTACTTCCTTCCAGCATCACAGGCAGTCTCAATTGATTGAAGAGAGCCTCCTCTATCAAACGAGACGTGATCAATTGAGTTATTTTGATTGATAATTGAGCATTATGTGAGTGCATGCCCATTTAGGTAAAACAATTGTAGTAAAACAAGGGAAACGTTAGATTCAAAATCCCATGAAGTTGTTACTAGACCTCCTTATGACTTAAGATAATAGAAGGACCATGGGGGCATTTTGTGTCTCAAGAATGTAGAAGAGAAGAAATGATAATTTACCTCCCTCTGTCTCCTGCCCAAATCACCACCCCACCCCAGCTCTGATTTAATGAAGCAGCACTGCTAGTTTCTCCAAATCTGTCACTTCAGCAAACGCTTCATTAGAAAACACATTTCTCAGCACACTAGTCATTACCACGCGTTTCCTCCAAGTCGATTTCGCCCCATCGGACTGGCTGTCACGAACAGTCTGTGTTTGACTGCCTGTGTGTGTCAGTTACAAAGCTGCTGGAGCCCTGGCAATGCAGGCTTGTGGTACATCTCACAGTTGTTTAATCATACAGGAGGACAGATTTACATAACGGCACCTACTGGGTCCTTCACTGTCACAAGTCTCTCACGCACCGGCCAAGGTCCACAGCGGCTTCAGACACCAGTTGTTTCAATGCTCAGATATTCTCTCATGTTTATTTGTACAAGGTTTTCATCCGAAATGAAATCCCAAAACAGTGACTGCAGCAATCCAGTAAGAGCCTGTTCGTGGTTTCTCTCAGATCTGCGAGGTGAGAGCTAGTGCTTTCATATGTGTTGCTTAAGTCTTTGGGATGGCAATGTTTGGAACTTTAAAAAAAAAAACACCCATCTGTTTTCCTTATTCGTGGTTTCCCATCCTGCCCTTTCCACTGTTTTTTCCATATTCTTTAGCTCTTTTTGGTTTCATGAAGTATTTTAGCTCCTTGGCTTGGACAAACTCTGGTTTTGGAATTTCTCCTGCAGAAAAATCTTAAGGAATGACATCTTTAAAAGCAGTTATCCGATGGAAAAGCAGTGAGTGACGGCACGCAAATACCACACAAGCATATCATCTATTGTTGCCACTCAGGCTCTTGCTTCCCTAATTGAGAACCTGTTCATGGTTTCACTTCAAAGATCTGCAAAATGAGAGCAGATCTAGTACTTTCATATATCTCAAAATAGCTCTCTGGAAAGCAGGGTTTAAACAAGCAAAATAGAAAACAAAATACTGAGGATCATTTTCCTTTTATTAAAAAAAGAAAAGAAAATCTTTATTCAGCATAATGTATTTTACACCCATTCCTGTATATAATAATACTAAATAAAGTTTAAACTGTCTCTGTTCCCTATAGATATAGTTTCTGAATGCGTAAATACAGGTAAGATAGGGCCATACCGGCCCTGCCAATGTTTATATTCACAGAATACAGTCCCTGGTGCTGGGAGGGGATGCTGGGATTGGGGGAGGAGAAGGCAGGAAAAGGAGGCGAAAGAATGGCGAAAATCTCCTTTCCTTCCAAGTAAACAGCCCACAGGCTCGTGTCGTTCCCTTCAAGACAGCTATTGCGGCTTACTCAGTGCTTAAAAACATATTCAAGGGAACTTAGATTTTGTTGGAGCCAAGCAAGGTTTTTTGTTGTTGTTTCGTTCCGGTTCTGGACATTAACAAGTGGAGCCGCCTCCCGTGCGGCGCCGAACAGAAGAGTCCCGTTCCCTCTCCCCTGCGCCGGGCAGAGGCAGAGAGCGTGCACGCCTGGCGGGGCAGGCAGCGATGCGCCCGGGGCATGCGGGGTCGGGGGTCGGGGGTCGGGGGTCGGGGGTCATGCCAGCGGGATGGAGACGGCGCCGTTGGCGCGGCTGCGGCTGCGGGTGTGCACGCTGGACTCGGTCAGCTCCTCCCCGTGCTCCTCGCCCTTCTTCTCGGCGAAGGTGGCGAGGAAGCGCAGCGTGACGGAGTCCCACTCCTCGGGCAGCAGCAGCAGCAGGAAGCCCAGGCAGATGATGGAGGTGGCGGCCAGGCGCACCACACTGAAGATCACCTCGTGCTTCAGCACATCCACCGCTGCGCAAAGACACAGGCAGCCGCATGGCTTAACGTGAGATCTGTACCAGCACACCGCTCCAAAACAGTAAGTCAGAAATGTGTTATCAGCAGTTCCGGAAACATGCCTGCTGTCCTGTCATCCTCACAGCAGCTGGCACATGTAATACAGTATTCCTGCCAGATGCACAGCCATACCTACTGCAGCAAACCCAAGAACAATGAGACATCAGCTGAATTCAGCATTTGTACATGTGGTGTTCATTCATTCAAAACCCTGCGAAATTAATGTACCGTGAAATATTTTCATAAGGGTGGTGGGCGTATGGAACAGACTACCCTGCTATTGAAGACGATACCTTGGACTCTGTGAAGAAACAGTTGGATGATGATCCTCAGGCCATTAGCTATTCACTACTAATTACCAATTGGTCTAGATAGGCCAAAAGGTCTGCTCTTGTTTTGAACCATTCTTATGTTCCTTAATATAATAAAATACACAAGCATCTGTTACCGCTAAAATGTATCTTGAAGGCAATCGTCAAAGCTAGGCTGCCACAGAAGAGTTACAGATATTTCTCCGGGATTTTCAGATTTCCATGGCAGTAGAGCCCCTAGTTGGATCAGCGATTTAAATGGATAAAGATGTTTATGTAAAGCTGCCTGGCGTACATGGAAGACTTCTGTTACTTCCTACTGAACATTCTGAGATCTGACCCCAAAAACAGCTGAAAGGTGAGAAATGGGAGTAATATAAAAAATAGGATTATAGAAGTGGGATACGTGGGATATAGGTAGTAAGTATGCTGCTTGTATCCTGCAGCAAAACCCTTTTGGTAAACTGGAAAACGTCTAGAATGTAAATGCAGGAAATTTAATAGATGGGTGGGAATGGAACTACCCCTTATTCTCTTCAGCAGCTTGGATGACATGTACACATCTGGTGCAGTGAAATCTCCGACAGGAAGGTGATACTGTGGAGATCAGATATGCACAAAGCAGTTTTCACATCATTCTGTTCAAGGTAGGAAGAATTCCTCTACGATTTAAACTGCAGAGAAGCTTTGAAGGAAAAGTGCACATAGACCAAAACAGGAAGACAGTTTTTAGTCAACAGACTGTTTCAGTTGCAAGCTGGGCATTTACTTCTGAGTAGCTCTGAACACATTTTTTTATTAATTAGCAAATGACACATTTTGGATGTGCAGGCAGTGTGCAATCTCTTTGTCACTGTGAGAGCCAAGCTGGCTTGCTGTGCAATGTGCTGGCCCCTGTATCCATTCATCTCATGTCCACTCAGATGCAGCGAGCCTACCTGCGTTCCCTGGTACGCTGAGCAGGGTCCCGATGGAAATGAGGATGGGGTAGGTGAGGACCAGTCCCACATTCACCAGGATGTTGAACGCTGTTCAGGAGTGTGATAAAGAGAAAAGCAGTGTGGAAGAGGATCAGACGGGTCAGAGTTAAAATGAATCCTACTCAGAAGATGTTTAGGTGAAGTCGTCTAGGGTGAGGTGGGGTAGGGGGAAGGTTTCACTTAAACGTGCATCCTGATTTGAACACTAATGCAAAAATAGTACAGCAAACCTCTTTACAGATTGCATGTGCACATTCAACCACACTGCAGAAAGAGACTCACTCATATGCACCAAGACAACCAGGTGTCACCATGTAGGGCAACAGCACCTGCCCCTAACACTCCTTTTGCAGCCGAACACACCTGTCATGCCATGATTTCTGTCAGCTCTGCTCTTGTCCTTTCCCAGTGCGTCTGTGGAAAGCAGATGAACTGGGAAAGGCAGGAGTATGAGACCCACGGAGATGCGATGTCAGTGGTCCAGCGGGTTGGCCTTTGTCAGTGAAACTCCTGCGAGGAGTCAATCTGATACTCTCGTTGGCCCTGAGGCTCTCTCACACACACTGACACAGCCCCTCTCAGCGCGCACGTGTCCTCACCCAGCCAGAGCCCAGCTACGCCACACAGATAGCCCCAGGGCAGGGCCGACAGCGACCCCCAGTGCTCCACCTTGGTGAAGAAGAGGATGACGGGCGTGCAGGAGATGAAGATGAGGTTGAAGAATCCCAAAGTGGAGAAGAAGTGCGCAGCCTCGCCTAGGTTGGCACTGCCCACGAACATCTTGAACAGCACCTGAAAACACATGAATGTAGTACTTCTAGCAAAGACTCTACACATTCAACAAGTCAAATGTACCAAATACATTTTCAACAACAATTTTATTTCATTTTAACTTTGACCTCATTTGAGACAGCTTTGGACCAGATAGCTCAAGCCTACTCCTTCACAAGTTTAATCTTGACTACATCTGACATGCACAGTTAAAGAGCAGTACTTCAAATATTTAATTCCTGCCTTGATTTCAAAAGTGATATTGTTAACCTACCAGCATTTGTGCGACAGTTGTTCCTGCCTTTAAAAGTGAATGTCATTCAAAATGCATTGGCTGTCAATTAGATCAACTCACCTTATAGAGAGCTGATGTAGAGGCGGAGCCAACAGCAAAGGCGACGCCTATGATGGAATCGCCATGGAACCCATCTGCATATGCCATCATCACAATGCCTGTGATTGCCATGATAGCAGCCACTATCTGCAGGGAGGAGAGGCACAGAGCACCATGGGAAAGCAGTAGAATCTAGAGTGAGGGACCACATGATATACTACAGCACAGTCATGCAGGCAGGGGTAGATCTCTGCACTGCTTCCACCACAGGGTCACAACAGGCATCCCATTTCCTATTATTTGTCTTGAACTACAGCTCATCAGCCCAAATTGCCTGAGGAAGAGGGAATACAGCAATGACTGCATGTTATAATGGTCCTTTCATCCTCTCTTAATGAGACTCTCTGGACAACATAGCCTTGTGGGATTATAAACATTTAGTGAATGTTGGTCAGCATGCAGAAAGGGGCCTCTCTCCCCCTCGTAACACTCACTCATCCTCACTGTCAGCCTTCACTAGCCCAGACTCTACTTCCTCTTTCACTTATAGCCAAATGCCCCTCACCCAGGGATCCAACTCCTTGTCTGTCATTGAACCGAGTGCTTAACATCCCTAGCCCTGTTTTCACTGACACACAGCCCCATTGGAAAGAGGGGAGCCTCCAGGAATGCCACACGTCTGAATGAACACACCACGGTAGCAGGGGGAACGGCCACACGGGCCATAGCGTTACAAAACCAGCGTACCCGCACCCCCATGAACCGGTCCTTGAGGACAATCCAGGACAGCAGGAAGACAAAGGCCTTGTGGCAGCAGTAGAGAGCGGAGACGTCAGTGGCAGTGAGCTTGCGCAGGGCCAGCAGGTACAGGTAGTTGGTGAGTGTCCACAGGATGGAGAAGGGAGCTGTACGCTTCAGGAATAGCTTCAGGGTTAAGCCATCCTCTCCAAAAATGCGGCTGCACTCCCTGCAAAGAGAAGACGAAGGCGAGAGGGACAGAAAGCCGGACAGGGCAGTCCTCATAGTCACGGATGTACAACCAGTATGAACATGGACGTAGGCCTGCTTCCTGGATTTGCAGTGGGAATTCAATCAGAGCATCAGGGTATAACCCACTAGGTCTGCTGAAGTCAGCATGCAATATTTTTGGATTAAACCAACAGTCTGCCGAATTTTTCTTCTCTGCCTTCTCAGTCTCTGGTCCACGAATCTGCCAGGGGATCAACAGGTTAGCACAGATAGTCGTGAGCCAACCACACTGTTCAGTCTTTGGAAATCCTTCGTTAACAATTGAAATAATCCACATGGGCCTAACACCTACTCTCATTATCCTTCTCATTTCTCCTTCAGCACATCTGACTTGAAGACAGCTCATTAAAAAACAAAAGTCACATGCATTTGTGGAGACCTAGGCATACCGCAGAACGAGTAAATCCTATTCAGTTGGGTTCACAAGGAATGACAACACCCAGTAAGAAAATACATATGGGAATGTTTATTGAGGCATCAAGCCTGAGAAACGTTGACTTAACCTGCTTGGCTGAGAGCCAACCACCTGGCTGTGGGATGAGGAATTAGGACCCGCTTGAAGAGAGAGGAGTTCACCAAGGGGAGTTGTAAAGGTGATGGGGCAGAGAAAGGATGCAGAAAGAGACAGGAGCTTATATATGGCTTTAATAGCATTTTGGCAAGTCACAGCTTGGGGGATGAGAAGTTAGTGTAGCACAGGTTGGACCTTGATTGCCATCATTACTCCTGAGTTTTCATTAACCACTTCACTGTAAAATTATGTATGATCACGAGATCACTGTGTAGTAGCATTGAGAGATACTTTGTCTCCAATCCTGCGTCCCACCCGAGAACCCACCTGAATTTCTGGATGGGGGTCTGCTTCTGGCGTGCAGTGACCAGGTGTCCGGAATAGTAGATGGGGAAGAAGAGGATGTTCCAGTTGGTACTGAACCAGGTCATGAAGAAGGGGCAGGAGAAGGACTGGAAGGTGAGCTTGACCACCTGAGTTGTGCCCACCCAGGAGGAGGACACTGACAGCACCAACAGCAGCCCTCCCAGCACCCTGAGGGCCGTGCTGGTGCAGGACTGGCATTGTGAGGGTGTCTCACTGTCCCCGCTGCCCGGTGTGTCTGCATGAGACTCTGATCCTTCCTCTCCTGCAAGGACAAGGAGACAGAAGGGACAAGATTATTCCACTGACTCACTGGTGCACCTTGTGTCTTACAGTGCTTCCAACATTCCAACAGAGCTCTTTAGCACATAATTCAGCTCTTACTTGGACTGGCAGTTTGCTAAATTATACCTTTTTTACAGATGTGGATTCTAAAAAGTTGACAATTTTCATGCTACTTCATCTTTCAATGACATCATTTGAGATCTCCAACTATTTAAATGCACAAAAACAAATAAAAAAGCTTATTGTTTATTTAAGTGAGGGCTCAATCAGCTAGAAGTAAACACAGCAGACACTAAAGTAAGAATTATCAGGACTAAGAAGCCCTTCGCTGTGCCCTGACACACAGTGTTCTACAGCTGCGGGAAATAATTATTGTGTTTTCTGCTATGGCATGAATAACACTGAGTGAATAACACTTAAAACTGAATATATAAAGATTTGCATTCGTTAAGCATCACTTTGTAGGAAGAAATTAAAGAAACCGATTCATCTAGTGAGAGAAAAGAGAATTCCTTTCCACATTTTCTGGTTGTATCTGTTGCCTCTCATCAAATGCAAAACTGTTTTATTTAATTTAAATTGCTTATTTTCATTGGACTTTGGAATGCCTTCAATGCTATTGCATTCAGTACACAGGAAAAGCGATAAAGGACCTCTCCCAGGGAAGAATTATTACTCTTACTGGTGAACAGAACCTTGAAAATCTAATATACATTGTGTGCACGTGTACTTCACAATTAAACACAAACCCACAGATGCAATAATATACTGACACTCTCAGCTGTCTTTTATTATCTTCTTTAATTATATAAGGGTCTTGAGAAGGTAATAATTAACCAGGTCATAAGACATTAAATTACAGCAGACGCCAATTCCAGGTGACCCAATGCACAGAAATACACTAATGTAGTCATTCATTTTGCACTGCTGCTGACGATGACAGCCTTGAGTTTATATATATATAGTTATACCTTCTCCCAGATATAACAGCAAGGTTTGAAACTTAGGATCACGGAATCATCTGAAAATACCTGTACCTGTCTGGATGAGCTCTTGTTTGGATGCCATCTGCTTTTGTTCAACTCTGTTCAGAATCTTGTGGTGTCTGACAGGGGTCTGTTTTTGGGCCTTCGTTCACTGCTCTCAGCATTATGAGTCAATATCATGGCATCTAAATAGATTCCTACAGTAAAGATGCTCAGGTATGCCTGAAGCGTACCCTAGACTCTCACCCTATTCACTCAGAAATCTTTATATCCGTAGAAGGTGTCAGAGCTTAGATGTTGGGGTTTTTTTTTCAGCTAGTAAGTGCTAGTAAGATCCCCTGTTGATGGGTGCTAAACTGCTACTTCTGGACAATGCTAGTTTGCTATTGACACACGGTATTTGAAACTTCACTAGAGTCGCTCTTTCATCATTATGCATTATATTTCACATTTCAAGTTTACTCTTATTATGTCCTACTGTAACGGAAGGCCTCTTTGATAGAGTGCTGTATAAAAGTGGTGCACAGCACTCCGTCAGTGTCAGGGACAAACTGAGGCTTAAAGTCTGACTTGCAATTACTCTTACCATACTAAGACGCTGAATTGTAACCTCATTCCCTTGCAAATGAATTGTTCAGAGAAAAAGACTAGATAGATCTTTGAGTTTCCTCTTCTCTGACTTAAGAGTAAGACCATATCAGGCTCCTAAAAATGTGTTTACTGTGCCCCAGATAGGCTTTACTGTTAATATTAATGGTGTCTTACACATTAATCTAGCATACTGATAACATTACCTATCAAAAAGCTAAAATACATTCATTCTGTTAAGGAAAGAAGCTAGCGAGAGACGTTTTGTATCCTATCTATCGAATGAGGATGCCTGGGATGTTCATTGATTATATCGAGAATTTGAAAAATGTGCACTTCAAGTGAAAATCCTACAGGCAAATACTAAATGTGGATATAAATAGTCAAGTTTCTCCTGTCAAAACCAGAGGGTTCAGGATGTGCAGAAGAGAGCTGCAGTGCTGGGAAGCTCAGCTTATTGTATGCGTATGAGTATTTTGCAGGTTCAGTCTTTTCTGTTTCGTAGCTCGGAATTAGTGGCTGAGTAAGCACTACGTGGAACAGAAGCAGGCTGGAGATTTGGGAGCTGACCCATAATGCATAGGGTACCTTAGGAGCCACACACTACATTTTGAACGGCCAAAAAGAAAAGTGAGGATTTCATTTTTTTTCTTCCTTTCTTTTTTGGCTGGCAAAGTGAAATGTTTTGGCAGGACTCTGGCCTGCAGTGGGGGTGCAAGGAAAGGGGGGGGGGGTCATAAAAACGCAGTCACCCTGAGAGGAGGGGGAGGTGGGGAGGCAGTTTTTTTACAGAGAGCGGGGATCCATTACAGCGCGCTTCCAGCGCCGATCAATTTACACCAGAGCAGGAATAAAGAACGAAATGTGCTTGTCCGCTGTGCCGACGAGCTCAGCACTTTCCCCCTGGCATCGCGACCTCGGGCAACTGGCCCTGCGTGACCCTTCCAGCCTCAGTCGTGTGCCAGCCTGTCCGCATGCCAGTCACTCTAACACTTGTCTGCTTGTCTCAAGCTTCCTAATTCTTCATTAATTACCCATTTGGGAACATCATTTGAGGAAGACTTCATTATTTCAAAACCACCACAACGTTCCTTTGACTACTGACGAAGCAGCCAGAGGCCAGGTGTGAGATGAGTTCAGTTCAGTTTATTGTCATATGCGCAAGTGCCATGAGATGCCTATTTGCATGTATGCTCCAATACAAAACCATCAAAGGAATCACCAAAAACATTAATACAAAACAGCAGTAGCAACAACAACAAGTTAAATAACATACAGTTTAAAAAACACATCAGTGTGAGCCTGTGGCAGGAGTAGAGTTCAGTAATCTGGCAGCTTCTGGGAAGAAACTGTCTCTGAGTCTGCAAGTTCATGACTTTATGCTCCTTTAACGCTTACCAGTGGGAAGGGGGGAGAAAAGTGAGGAACCAGGATGACTGGTATCCTTAGCGATACTTTCAGCCTTCCTGAGACAGCGAGTTGTAAAAATGTCCACTACAGCGGGGAACTGTACTCCAGCGATGGACTGGGCTGACCTGATCACCCCCAGTAACGCCTTCCGGTCAGACAACGAGCTGCTGCCAAACCACACTGTAATACTACATGTGAGCACACTCTCAGTTGTGCATCTGTAAAATGTGGTAAGGACAGCTGAAGATAGATAGTGGAAGGGTTATGATATAATCACTCGCTCAAGAGTGAATTTAATACCCAAATGATTTGTCACCTCAGTCTGAACATCTGCATGGTGGTCTGAAAAGGCCCAAATAGCGAGCCAAAACTCATCTCTCGCATTTCTCTCCCACACCAATGTGGCATTGATTCCTGAGGAATAACCACATTCAAGGATTAAATGCGTTTTGGGAATGTGTATTGCATGCTTAGGCATGGGAAGGTCAGATTTAACCTGCCTGGCCCCTGGATGAGGAGGCTGGGAGCCCCTTGTAGAGAGGGGAGTGAGCCCAGGGGGAGCTGCACAGGTGGACATGCGGCAGAGGAAGGGTGGATGAGAAGAATGTGAAAAGAGAGGCTTCTGGGTAATGACGTCAGGGATGACTACAGGTTAGGGCAGCTGAAATGAAAGAGAATATGGTTTCCATCATCCCTCCTGAACATCTGTTGGAAACTGCATTTCATCACTAGAAGTGCAAAATGGAGGAATGAGTGGGGAACTGGACGCAGCTCCTGAGGAAATTACGTGGCTGTGCCCCCCCAAAAAAAAGAAAATCAGACGCCGTGTGAAAAAATCACTTGCAATTAGAAATGCTCCTACAAGCAGTAGCCAGCACGCCTGTGAGGACACTCTAATATGAAATAAAAGGTTTGGATATTTAAAAACTTTACCAATTAATCTCCCTTGTCTGCCCTTGATGCTCTGTGAACTGATGGAAATCAATGCACAATTGACATCTTAGAGGTGATAAATGGAAAAGCAAAATATTTGAACTCAAGCTTTAATAGGTCAGAGAAGCTGTTACAGCAAAATTAAAACTTGTGGGGTTGTCTTTTTTGGAGGAAGGGGTTGGCGAGGTCAGTTTCACGTACAGCTCTGTCTCTCGGGAACTGGGAAACTGGATGTGGGGTTCACTGAGAAGGAAGGAAGACCAGAGTCTTCTTCCCCACGCGGGGGAAATGAGTGGACACTATTTCACCTGCATTACTAACATAACTCAGTCTTCTTGATTGAAATTGGCCTGTTTTTCCACTCTTCATTTTTGCTGTGACACCAGACCTCATTGTGCGACTTCAACCCTCATGCTAACAGCACATAAAAAATAGTGCACCCACTATCGATTAGCTAAGAAGTAAACAGTACGTGCTCATTGTGTCACAGTGAGCGGTGTTCTAGGGTCCTAGGTGAATTCTGGGCTGAGGTGGAGTCTGTGCTGAGTTTGTAAGTTCTCTCCATGTCTATGGAGGTTTTACATGGATACTCTGTTCCTATTAGCTAACTAAATATGAATTTAAATAATGTATCCTGGCCATACACAGTAGACAGTGCAGCTTTTTCATACAAATTTAATTTAGCGTGTATGTGTGTCAGGAAACCACTCATGTCTGCAATATCAAAAATCTTTGCATTACTTATTACTAGCATGACCTTGGTAATGCATATAGGGTGAATACTATAACTGATTGTCTTCATGACACGCCGACCTCAGATGGAATGACTAACAAGATTCTTACTCCTCTGCAAAAGAGCAGATACTCAAGCAGAAAACCAAAGACACGTGGACTGTATGTTGACACAACAGAACCTGCATCTACACCTGGGTGAGTTTGCAGTTGGGTTCCTAGAATGACCACTGATCGTTTCAGGAGCAGGTGGACTGCAACGATCCGGACAGGACATCTTTTTTACTTGGTTATGACAGCACATGTTCTGGAGGAAATCCAAGATATCCTCACCACTTGATGCCGGTACAAATGCTGTAACAGTACAACATATGGATTTGTAATGACTGATGATTATTTGAATTGGGAGGAGGAGGGATAAAAGTAAAAAAATTGTCTTTCCAAAAGAAAAATGTAAAAACTGTAAGGGGAACATTGCCATTAAAAACATTTTGTAATACAATTCAAGCTTATGAAACACGATGTAGCTGAATCTACAGTACCTGATGCTTTCTTTGTCTTCCTAAATGTTCTTTTGTTGAGTTTGACTGGAAATGTGTAGACAGATTTGCTGCTCCTGTGAGTAGGCTAACATTTTTAACAGATTAGTAAATACGTAAAAAGGGGTTCCGTAAAAAATTCCATCCCACTTTAAACATGCAAGCAACACAGCACTGTTTAAGACACGTTCAAAAGTGAAGTCATATTCACAACAGCTATTAAACAGTTGACAGAAATACAAAATGGGAAATTGGAAATTCTAATGTAATTTGAAATGCATCCTCTTGTTACTGGACGCTTAAGTTGAAATGAAGGGGTTCATAAAGCTTTTGGTTGTTTTGTTATGTACAAAACACACTGTGGCCATCTGGCTCGGGTCTGTACAACCAGCACTATCCATAATGCATTGTCTGCAATCTGGTAAAGTACTTCCGAGTCCATCACAGCAATGAAAAGGTATACACCGGCCATGAATATACAGCTACTAATATCATCTCTAATCGTCTTTCTACTCCGCAGAGTGCTTATCCTCCCATGAGTGGACTTGGCTGCTGAGCCAGATACGACCAAGCAAGACAGATGTGACTTCCTCCTTCCCTTTTCCCAGGGATGGTTTTTTCCGATCTCGAGAAGGGACGGGGACACGCAACAGGGAAAGATCATCCCTTAAGCTGGCGAAATCTAATCAGGCTAATTTGTGTTTCCGATGATGAACAAGCCCAGGGTGCTCAGATCTTCCTTAGCGAGAGTAAACGGCACGTCCCCAGCCACTGCGGCAGGATTGCTTCTCTGCCAAGAGGAAACTGTGCTCATACAGACCCCCCCCTCAAATAACTGTCATAAACAGCGCCATGTAACAGCTGAGAGAGGAAAAATATAATACACTAGCTGCCGTAGATTCTCCATCTTCTTTTTTTTTTAACAACAATTGCAAACTCAGTAAACAGCATGTGCTTTATCTTTAGAACAACAACAAAGATCTGGTCTCCACTGTTGTTAACCTGACCTCATCCTGCTCTCAGGTTCTGCGCAGCAGCCCACTTCCCAGCTGTCACAATTGCATCTCTCCCAGTCCTTTCGGCTCTAATCTCCACATTGTACAACTTCCAAGCCAATCGGTTTTCTGTTGTGCAGTTCAAAGGGCTCTACTGGCATGACCGGTCCATCACCGTACCGCCAAAGCACCACAACAGAGAACAAAGAACCGCAACAGGCAATGAACAACTACAGTGTGACCTAAACAGACCATGTATATATAAAACAGGACAGCCAGCAGGGTGCTGACAAAAAAAGAAGTGCTGACTGGCCACAAGGAGAAAATCAGGTATCTAGTATTGTCACTCAAGCATGACTATTTATGTCAGGCTCATTCTGCCAGTGAGAACACATGGATTGTGTTGGGTTTGGGAAGCCTGCTGCCTGTCTCCGGTCTGAGGAAGGACCCGCATGACTCCAGGAAAGGGGAGAGCGTCACTCGACCCCGGGGCCCTGGAGAACTGAGCTGTTTTTCACCCTCGGGAGCTGACTGTATCGGCCTTGCTCGCGCAAGGATAGGAAATCAATCTCTGCGCACTGCCAAATCACGTCAAGGCAAGCCTTTTTCAAGCTCAAGCTGGGCTGGGCTATTCCCCATACCCAACAAAGAACTATTGGCAGCTACATTAATAACATCTGTACACGAGAGGTCAGAGTGCGCGACCCTGTTAAGCATTTTGCTCAGAACTCTTCTCTGCATTTGAAGACGGCCGTTCCAGCTTTAGAGAAGAAAGAAGAAAGATGATTTTCGTTGGCCTGGAAGACGTATTGTCAAACCAATTGTATCTCATTACAGTACAGTCTGTGAGTCTCTATCCAAGCAATGAAAGAGACTATATTGCTCTGCACTGAGTGGGACTTTAAATTACTACAAAATTAAGAAATCAAAATTTTATACATACTGTGTTTACTTGTGATAGATATGGAACTATCGGAACATTATGCTAGCAAAGCAGGTAGACTGCAGAGAATGAAGAGTACATAATTGGAAATGCAATGTGAATATCTTAATGGAGGTCTTCAACAATTAGTCATTAAACTGGACAGTGTGTTTCAGAAGAAAAGAGTAATGGGGGAGGTGCATGCTGCCTAATTCCAGGTACTTTATCTTATTCACATTTAAATGGAGACTACAGTCCGGCAGCCAGTACTTAGGTAAAAGCATGGTTTACTGGTTTTCGAGTAGAAATGTCATCTCCATGTAGTTGTTAAGGCACAGGCATGAAAGCAAAGGTACCAATTTTCATAGTGTTTTGGCATTTTCCCATGAAGTCACTGAGCTAATGTCAGTCTTTTCATTTGCTTTTTTACATGGTTTCCCACAGTATGTCTTACTTCTCCATGTTTCAGCTACAACGTCACTCTGCTTTCCTATTACTTGCTCTTTACTTGATATTTAATGGTTATTGTAAGCTTTTCTCTTTAGATTTGAGATCAGAAATCATGTTTGTACCTGCAAATATTCTTAGACTCAGCTCCCCACTACGAGCCTTTTACTAGAACAGGAGGCAGGAAGACTATTAAAAGTGCTTTGCTGAGCCATCTGCCTCTTTTCACAGTGTGGGGCCTGTGCAGGGCTAGGGCTGAGTGTGGGGCAGCCACAGGGGGCACTGGTGGGCAGCTAGATGAGTTTTGGATGTACCGCTGTAGGAGAGAAAGAGGTCAGCATGTCAAAGGCAGCCAACAGGATACGTACTTCCATGTGAACCTGCCTTTCATGTGCATGTCACAATTCTCAAATTCATGAGTAGATGGCCTGTACATTGGAGTGCACTGTGTTATACACTCTATGACTAAGAGTGAGGTAGCAGTTTTGTAGCTTATTTTATAAATATGACACAAACAACCCAGCCAACGCAATCAGCCAACAACTACACAAACAACTACACAAAACAAAGGCTGCTTTTCAAAGATTTGCAGTTCAGTTCTGATCAACCTCCGTTTTTGTGGACCTTTGGCCACTTATTTACGTGAACACAACTGCAACAGAGCACACTTCTACCTGGAGCGACAACTTCGACTGCAGTTGTGTCTTCTGCCAGCAGGGGAGCAAAACATTGCAGCATGGTGAGAGCCCAGGGAATCTGAGAGTCCACAATCGCAGCAAGGACTCCTTTACATACCCACAGCATAAGAAGGATGGCAGCACAAAGCGAAGAGTTGCAGGCATTGTCTCTGTCCCACAGTGTCATTAAACAGGAGGGGCGTCAGTTCTCCAAGTATCAGTGTAATCACCTGAAATCTTTCCTCTTCATTCATTGAAAAGTGTTCCGTTCCAAAAAGACAAAACTTCTGCCTGAAATGGTTTCATTTCCTAAATGACAACCACTTTTGTAAACTGCTTTGGAAAAAGAAATGTGCACAGGAGGATACAGTAATCAGTATTTTTTGTACTTTTAGAGATGCACTTAACCCAATGAGACCTCAGTCAATTTCCCACTGGAATGTCCCCTCAAACATTTTGTAATATCTCTGGAAGTCTATACAGTAGAAGCCTGGTTTATGGCTTAAATTACAGCTAACCGAAAGCGTGTTTTAGACAAGCAAAATAGCACACGAAGGCAATGAAGCCATCAAGCATAAGCACGCACTTCAGCACACACACAAGCACATCTGCACTCCACTGCACTGACGACCCCAAGCAAAAAACACACTCACCCCAAGCCCTAGTCTCACGGCTCAGAAAGTAGACCTTACTTCATGAGCCAGAGCCCAGCCTCTCCCTGCACCCTCACACCGTGACAAACACACACATGCACACTCAGTGTGCACACGGGGAGGCACACACATGCCGACTCAGCACAGCCCCGCGAGGGGGAGTTTTACCTTCGGAGACAGGGCAGGTCAGGACAGAGGCGTTGTAGGAGCTGAGAGGAGCCACTCTGGCAGAATGTTTCTTCATCCTCCGGTAGGCAAAACAATTCAAAAGCTCCCCTCCTCCCCGGTGGTCGCCTCGGCTGGTTTTCAGCTGGCTGGCGATCAGCCTGGCTGCCTTCACCTCAGTGCCACAGTCAGCGGTTCCTGGGGACGCTGGGCATCCCTGTGAGCCAGCGCTCTCCTCCTGTGCTCCTGGAGTGCTCCGTGAAGTCGGCGCCGCTTACTGCTGATCTTGCATGCTTCGGCCAGGGCAGTGCTGTCTCCCAGGGAGATGGAGCCCGAGTGCGGCAGGGCTCCGATTCCTCACTCAGGGCTCTCGTCCTCGCTTTCTCTCCCACAATCGCTCCCTCCCACTCTCTCTCTCTCTCTCTCTCGTTTCCCCACGCTAGCTCAGCCTTCTCCTGTTTTGTTTGGAAGCTAACCGAGGTGTCTCTGCTAATTGCACTGTGCAGACAGCTCTCTCTCTCTCTCTCTCTCCCCCCTCCTCTGTGACACTTCTCCAATACTTCAAGGTTTCTCCTGATCCTGCGTATTTCTAGTGCTGTGGTCAGGCAGCGTGGATACAGCCCTCCAGTTCTGTCAGGGAGCAGACTGGCTCGACTGCAGCCAGCGGCACCTTATGCTCAGACACTGTAATGTGCAGTAGTGTGGGTCTCCCGCAAGTCTCTCGGAAAACTGAACGCGTCAGCCTTTTCTTTTTTTAAAGCACTACCTGAAGTTGCTTTAGATAAAACCACCCACAAAACTGCATTGGTGTACACCTTTTCCATGGATTATAAAACATAATTCCCAAACACAGGGGTGTAAAAAGCAATGGAAGTCTGGCGGTTCTCACTGTGTGATGCATTGCAAAATTTCATCTCAAGATGATACTGTTTGACTTGCAGCAATGAGGAAACTTTGACTGACATGAACCTTTTCATGACCTCAGCCTTCTTCCTATCCAGGGCTGCATCATGTACTATTGTCCCCATTTTTACCTGATGACAGGGAAATCGAAGAGTCTTTTTTAATTTGACAGACTATCGTTTCACTGCACTGCTGAAAAGACTGTAACTTTCATTTTCCAGTCCATGAAATTTTAACAGGAGTCGTTTTTCCCCGTAATTAGGCACGAATGATCTTGAAGTCCATCTCTGGGGGGGAGATCAGAAGGTTTGCTTCAGTATAAATCTGAATTATATGTTGATATATCCACTGCCAGCCATATCGCTGAGACACATTCACCCTGGTGCCTGCTGTGTGATGGAGGCAGGCCCCCTGCTCTTGTGGACAGGACTGCTGTTGTGTTGGAGGCCCAGTGATCTCATCAGAGGCGGCTGTGAGCATGCAGGCTGTGGGCTTCCCTGGGGGCAGTGCTGCCGAGGCGTCCTGCTGTTGGAAAGTACACGCTCCACATGCACTGAATCCAGAAGACAGTTAATGATGCTGCCGGGAGAGCTGATACACTGCGGAGTGGAATGCATTTAGCTACAGTCCACAGATTGCTGCTCGAACAGGCACAGAAGTGTGAGCTCACAAACTCGGCGCCACTGCCACACACACAAACACAAACTTAGGCCCTGGGGAACATAGCTAGGACATTGAACATAGCTGGAAAACTCCAGGCCAGTCCATATCATGGAATTGGACATACCACTTGAGAAAAATGTGTATATACATTGTAGAAAGCAATGCCCCCCCTCCTGTCCACGTTTTAGAGTTCAGGGCTGTTTTTCAAGTCCTTCACACAACCCTCTGCTCCTCCATTCAGGAGTAAATTCTACAGAAGGTTAATTTTCAAAGAGGCAGTCGTGAGGTAAAATGGGGTTTCAATCCAGATTCTAGCATATCTCACAATACTGCGTTTAAAACAGAATTGATCTGCAAATACGTACAGAAAATACATTTGAATAAAAACCTCTACTTTACATCTTATGTACTGCAAATGGTGGTCGGACCTCAAAACCTGAACATAATGTGCTTATAGGATTGCTTTTGTGAGGCTCTTCAAACTCAATATGAATGATAGACACAGGGTAATATAAACCCTGTTCCTACTCTGATCAGTCTCTGCTTAATGGAATAATCGTTAATGATTGTTCATTCATGATTATTTTTTAAATGTGACTAGATACTTCTGAGTGAAAGCCAGCAGTACACTCTTGAACAAGGCAGCCCAGTACTTGACAGTAGCGCAGCGGGGAACAGGGGCTTCGATGAACAGGACGGCTGGGAGAAGTCGTATGAGTTTGCTCAGGACATGGTGGAAATCGAGGAGCCTAAGGACACACTCAGACAGCACTTGACTGAGCCACCTTGTCTCCCACTGGGGGAACAGCAGTGCTGATCAACATCTTCATAAATACACACATCACATTTTCCATTTCAAGCTGGGATCCCAAAGGAGCCTGAAATACATCCCCGCTCAACAAACAGCTCTGGAGAGCAGTGTAGCCACGTCCGAGGTGGAAAAGAGTGCCGGCCCGTGCCAGCTCGTCGGGACACTTCGACAGGGGGTGGAGGAGAGGAGCTGGATGGAGGAGAGCAGAGGTGGATCTGATGTGAAGAGATCAGAGAGGATGAGACTTGTTTCGGGAAAAAACTCTGTGCCTTTCGCCCGGTCTTTGATCTCAGCTCCCGAGCGGTGCTCTCACAAAGATGCTCCAGCTCCGCTCTGAGACTCAGAAACAGGATGAACCGAAAGGAGCCAGTTCAACCCCTATTATTTCGTTTGAAATCTGCAGTGTCACGCTGTTCCTGTGATATTAACCTGGGGAGGCTCAGCAGGAAACACGCACGTCTGCGATTCCCTGTGGAGTATTGAACTAGAGAGTGGATCAGCACAGCTCAGGAGAATCTGTTTAGATTCTGCTTTATTGACAGTCTGTTGCTTCCCAAGCCAGTGGTTCAATTGTGCTCTATGATCAATTTGCCAATAAAAATGCACAAATATTGATGGAACGGTATGAGCCCAGCTCTTACTTCATTAAGACTACAATATCCAGGCACATAGTTCTGTGTCCTACACAGCCTTAGACCGCAGTGATGGGGGGGAGTGTGGGCTGGAGTTTATACCCAAGGCACAGGGAGATGTTTGGTGCAAAGGGACATGCAGTGCTCCACTGCTCTGTAGTGTTCTCATGTAAATCACAGATGTAAAGTGCTAGAACAAAGACCCATGCTGTTAGATATTCAATGCTTCACAATACTGTCCATGTAACACTACCCCTCCGACTAGGGGAATAATGGGAAAGTTGGCATCACTACAAAGACCATAAACAATATTCCAGCTCGTCTGAAATCCTCAAGTCAGTCCGGTGCTGCACCTTGTTTATTTTAGGAGACGGAAGTGGGCAGGAGAAAAAGAAGGGGAAGAGGAGGAAGAGAATAAATCCCGGGAAGGAATTAATCCATAACCCTGGCAAAGGTTTTGTGTGTGTGTGTAAGGGTAGGGGGTTGACGGTAAAACCGAGTACTGATCTTGGTGCACAGATGTTGGCAAGGCTTAAGGCCAGGAGGTGGGGAACAGGTTAGAGAAAAAAGTCTCGCCAGTCTAGCACCTGTGGTCTGAGCTGAGTGTTCTGGCGAGACAGTGAAACTGTGGGCACGAAGGGGCTTATCTGGCTGTGGGGTCTGTGTTTGTCCTGCTGGCTGTGTGGCGGTGCTGGTGTGGAGCCGGATGGTTTGATTGGCGGCCTGCGGGGCACTCCGCCAGGGAAAGGATGGCTTGCTCTCCAGCCCGGACTCCCGGCCTGCGTTATCACTGACAGGCTGATTACACAGACGCAGATAGACGCAGGGGAGCACTGCGTGCGCGGGGATCCTGGCGGGGGGGGAGGAAAGAGAAGATGGATTGAAAGAATCACAAGGATAAAAGCAGAGACAAGGGGCAATATGCATATCTGCAGGATAATATGGCAGCTTTTCTATGTGCTAAGGTCTCCATCTCTGTAAAATCCAGTCACCATCATCACCGTTATCCTCCACCCCCGCCCTCTCCCCACGATCTGTTGTGTCACTGGGATGATTTGTTTTTACCAAAAAAAAAACCTTCCCAGGTGCAAACTCCTTTCAGTCCTCTGCAGTTGCCCATTTCCCCTGCTCCTTGTCACTACTGCTGTGTGTTCCTATCTCACTCCTTCTCCCCTTCTCCCTTAACATAGCTTTCCAATCTAAACATATAGAACACACCTGATACACACCTGAGCTCTTCTTTGTAGTTGCTCTCTCGGTATGCTTCACTCTCTGTGCTGTAAGGATGTACGGAAGCCTGTCTGTCTTCATTAGTGTAGCTGATGGCTCTCACACCTACCAGCTCTTTCAGACCAGAGGGAATGGAGCAATGATGACAACAACGAGTGCAGGGGCACCCCTGACACAGGGGTGCTAATCCCACGATTGGGCTCTCAGGCCTGTCTTAGTATTGTCACTGTTACTAATTGACTTGGATGACGCTTTGGTCGAGAGGGACTTCCATTTGCACGTCGCGTGTTGTTGCAGCAGCAGGAATGCGGCTCAGTACGAGAGGAACCGCAGGTTCAGACATGTGGTGTCTGCGCTTGGCCGCGGAGCCGGCAGTGTGAAGACACCATCTGTAGGATTATGACTGAACGCCTCTGTCAGAATCCCCACTAAAAGGTGCATTCCTGTAAGTACTGCACCTGCATTCATATAGCTAGGTGTTTTACTGGGGCAATTCAGAGGAAGTACCTTGCTTAAAGGTACAACAGCACTGTCTCACGCAGGATTTGGGCCCCTATTAGCTGGAAGCCCAGACCCATGCCCGCTGCTCCACAGGTAAAGTGTGGCATGAGAGGAGCCAAGGGGACTAGCAGTTTCTAATCTGTGCTTATTTCAGTGAGGCCTCTGCTTTCTCCGCTGTGTGAATGGTGTGGGATGCTGTCACAATGATAAATGTCTCACAGCCTCATAGGCTCCATGACTATTTATATTCATGTAAATATTAAAATAGCCTTATGAGAAGGCATTTATGCTTGACGGTGGAGGGGGCAGACTCCTGGACAGATCAGATGAAGTGGGTGTAGTATTTGTTTTTGAAGAAAATGTTTCAGCTTCCACAGGCTGGCTCATTAATTCTCCTGTTCCAAAGTGAAGTAATGGAATGGTACAGCACACAAAGCACACAGGAACAGACCCTGCAGCCACTACTAGCCCACAGCGATTCAAATTAAACACCTTTATTCTAGAAGGATTACTTCCAGTATTAACTGTATACTGGTTTCAAACACATGACCCAGGACAGAGTTATTAGCACTATATACTGTACATGAAAAGATAAGAAAGAGTGTATTTGCTGGACTGTATATACCTGCACATTGGGATTCATATTTGCACTGTTCTCTTGAGATGTGCACAGTGCAATTGACAACACTTTCACACAATGTGTACGGTACATTACAAAAAAGTAAATAATAAGAGTATAACAAAGCAATAAAGACAAGATAAAAGTATTAGTAACCATTTTAATTGCCTGGGTCATTTTTAATTGGCTGTGATTAATCCATTATTAAAATAAAAATATTTTATCTAACATAGGTGTTAATCCTGTTTTGAGCCTATTTTATACCAGAACATATGACCAACCATTTCCACAAAAACTTAACAAACCTTGCACTTTTGCCTTAAGTAGTTTCTTTGCAATTCTTTCATCAAAGCAATATTGTACAGTTTTAGATTCTTCTGTGCTGTTGTTATATTCCACAGGGTGTTTCTTTTTTAATTTAAATTCCTTCCTTTTAATCTATTGGATCAGTGTGATGATTTTCTTTTGATCTTTCGGGATTAATGTGCAATGCATTCTTTGACTGGTGTCTTTAACAGCACTGCAAAATCCTTTCAATCCATTTTCAGCCCCAAAGAGTTTTTTTTCCAACCTAAACTCAGACTTCCTAAAACTAGTTGTGTGTCTATTTCTGTTATAAGGCCTCCACAGTTTCTCAGACCCAGAGACTCAGTGATCAGAGTTTTGTCTTGTCAAGTTTGTGACCAGATGATTAAACTCCGATGCTGCTGCAGTACTGCTGTCTGTATAGTCATTCCCCCTGTCATCAGATGGATTTTGTTACACTTATTGCCTGAACCTGGTGGTCTGTGTCATGTTCCTGATGTCAGACCATTGCCGGTCTGTTCTATTATTAGGCCTAGTAGTCTTTAGAGCAGAGTGCATAGACTAAGCTAAAAATAAAAAACCCTGTCTATGCTATGGATGCAGAAACGGACATCTTCAATAGTACTGTTTCAATTCTTACAGTATGATAGTTCATTTCAATTTGTTTTAGACAGGGTGTTTGATTTCAAGGGTTCTGGTTTAAGCAGAACATGGGACAGTGGTTCTCTAAAGTATCTAAAAAGCCTGGTATCTGAGCCATCCGTCTTCCAGTGTGATACTGCCATGCAGGCTGAGCACGGAGACTTTCCACATGGATCTCTCTTCAACCCCTTTCCTCTATAACTCCATGGCAGGGCCTGCCCAGATGACACCTGTGACAGCAGGCTGCAGTAACACAGGCAGAAAGCAGCGGATCCAACAGATAAATATGGATGGAAATGAAAAGGCACGCATATTTCTCACTGTGGATGTAAGAGAGGATAGTCACTTGAGTGCCTAGTATTGCATTTCACATGTGAACTTGTCTATCGCCATTAAAGTGTATAAAAATGTATATGTGGCCTGATGTTGTTCACCACTTAATCTGTGTGGCCTATAGGGACAGTGAGCAAAAGAACATAAGACATGTTACAGATGAGGTTGTTGAACCCGTCTAGTTTGTTTGACAATAGTTAATTGATCAGGTGACCTCATTAAAGCCCTATTGAAAGAAGGCAGGGTTTGCCTTCATGGCTGGGCTGCTTGTTCCACGTATTCCTGAAGAATATAGTCTGTTCAGAGATAAACAGCCGCACTTTTAACATTAGCAAGAAAGAGGACCGCCAGCGAAACAAATCAGAGCCGCTTTCAGAAATGAGATCCAACTGAAGTCACGGGTGTTTTCAATGAGAGGGGATTGTAGCAGCAGCTAGGATGCATTACATCTGGTGCATAAAGTTACAAAGACAGACTTTTACCAGATCATAAAACTCAAGCCTTTTATATAATGGGCGGTACAAAGCACAGGTCTCCTCTAAGAAAGGCTGCTGTAGCACTTCTGCTGTCCAGCACACCAGTGTTTACTGTAGTGTCCACACCACACAGAGAAATCCCCCTTATCACCGATCATCACTAATCATGATGGCTGCCCCTGGGAAAATCACTCCACATGACTTTGCTCGTTCCTTACATACGCTGGGTAACATAGCCTTCACTTTTTTTCCCTGTGCATTCTCTCAGCACCGGGATTGGACCGGACGGTCGGGCGACGTTCTTTTTTTAAATTATTTCCAGCAGAAGCGTCGCTTCTGGTACCCAGAGAGGAGAAGAAGCATACCCAACCTTCCCTTGCCCCTCCAGGATGAGGTTTATCTCAGGCTGTCTTCACCATGGCAACCGCCGCGTAAACGGAGTGTGCAGGTATCCTAAAATAACCGAGCCCCCCTTAGCAACGGCACCTCTCCGCCCCACCCCCCACCTCTCCTCACATGGACACGGGCCTCTTCAGCCACAGCGCCATTCAGCCTCTTTATCATTCAGATTACCTGCTGCGCGGCCCGCTGATTACTTTTGTCTTTGTCTTTTTGTTAAAAGGCCGAGCTCTCGCTAAACTGCGTTTGGAAAGCAGCTCACTCAAATTTTAAATTCAAATTCAAAGAGCTTTATTGGTATGACTGATGAATTACAGTGTTGCCAAAGCAGAAACTATTAACCGATCATTTACAGACGACTACAGTACAAACTCTCTCTACACTGCAACAAGCACAGAGCTCTGACCATAAAGGTGGAAATTTTAACTGTTTTAATTGTTCTCCTATCTCATCACAAAAATCTGTTCTATTTCTCTTTAGACGGACCGGTCCTGATCTGATGTACAGTATTAATTATTAATAGCAATAGGATTAGTTGTTACGTTTGTCGTTTATCCAGGACAAGCCGTGTTAAAACTTTTGAGCCCCCTGATTAATTTCAAGACAATCTGATGTAATCTGAAAAGATATGAAAAAACTAGCTCAACCAAACAAACTTTCTTCGCTCAATAGAGCTTCGGACAACACAGAGACGCACTGTCGAGGCTGCTGGAAGTCTACAGCGCACTTCGGGGGATTTTACTCTTACAAAAGCTGCAGTATGAAACCAATAAACAAGTGTGGGTGGCAAGTTCCTTCAGATGTCCCCAGCATTCCTCAGAAGACAGATGGTCTTGCTTTCACTTGGCCTTCGCCCCCTCTTTCCTTCGCCTCCTTCCCAGGACCACATCTTCTTCTTCCTCAGGCTTGCGCCATTCTCTTCCTCAGCTGCTGCCTGCCTGCCTGCTCTCTGGAGACCGGGAAGCGTGCAGTCAGCACAAACCTGCAGTTTCAGCCCTTTCCACCGCACTGCAAATCCTCGCACGCTGCCTGCTGACAGGGGTAGCAAGCGTTTTTTTTTTTCTTCCCACCAGCCCGAAATGCGTATGCGGATCCAACCGAAGGAGCTGCCCGTCATTAGAACTCCGCAACTTTTTAATTTCTTCGAACTGGGACTGTTCGAGGGGAATATTTAAATAAAAAGAGCTTGTCTGAATTCAGTAAACACCCGGTCCCCAAAAAGAATGTTTGTTCTTATTTTACCAGAGCTTTCTTTGTGATTCATTTCTAGTCAACCCTCCCCCCCGGATTGGCCACTTGCTTTATCTGCACTGTTGAATCACACTGCTGCCTGGCGCATGATATGAAATCTGTTTATTGAAGTTCCAAGTTCACAACAAACTTGCCCGTTTTTGTGGCAAGTTCAAATGAATGTTCTCTCCTCAACCAGCACCAGTTTGTCAATGAAGTGTAACAAGGTTCGATATCACCTGAGTGATTTTGAATATACAGACCAGAGAATACGTCTCACCTCTGGCTCTGTATTCCACATGCCTGAATGACTGTAGGAATTCTCGCCTTTGGGGTGGAGTGAGACATTTTCCAAGAAGACACCCCCCTCAAAGGGTACTTTTCTTGACCAAGGCTGCCATCTAGTGTGTTTTATTAGAATTACACTCACAGATTTCTACAGAAGCACAGTAAATATTCAAAGATTAAAACCATCCTGGGAATGCCCTTCTCTCTCTTCTTCCTTCTGGAAAAAAGATATAGCAGTATACAAGCTGAACCTCTTGGATTCAAAGAAAGCCTCTACCTCACAGCCATAAGACTCCCAGACTCTACCTCTCAAATCCTCTTACCCTGCTCTGTTTTTGCACTGAAATCAAAATACACTACGTGAGCTACTGTCTAAATGCTGGTTAAAATTATAGCTGCTACCCTCTTCCTGTCTCCAAGAATTGTGATGTCATTTGTTATGTCATTTTCTATGTCAATATTATGTCTTCTTTTGTGTCATCTGTTATGTCATTTGTCACGAGAGGAAAACACGCAAGTAAGCATTTCATTGTACTCGGATACGTAGGACAGTAAACTTGAATGTGATATTTTACAATGACGTAGTTTTAGCGATGCGATTATGAAAACCTCCCACTAGAGGGCAGTACGAGCCTGCGTTACGGCTGCAGTGCCGCAGAAGGGCTTGCGCGACAGTGTCAGCGCGATGTGTGAAGCATCGTGATCCATTAACAAAGACACCTGGGGTAAGAAGGTCCTTAATGCTGTAGAGCTGAAGTAGATAAATTGCTCTTGATAAAGCACAACGCAGCCTGCTGAATCTTCCCTCTCATCACAGTGACATCAGGGGGTCTGAAGCGAGCAGACGCATCGTCGTGATGCTGCTGCAGGGGGTCTGAGGCCGCCTGGGAGGACTGGTGCCGGGCTGAAAGACTTCTCTGCTCTGAGGGCCCGTCATCAAGGCATCTCTGGCAGGGCTCTGCAGTAGCATCACTGAACCTCCAGGGGGCATCACGGCTACCACGCCTTGTCCGTCTCCCAACTGCCTAGCAGCTGGGAAAGGCACGGCTTTTCCCAAGAGCCACGGAGTTGGGGTGGGGAGTTCTTTCTCGGTCCTCTTATCGTATATAAGTGCAGTTTTGCTGCGTTGGCATCCTGATGGAAACTAATTCCCAGGTTTAGCGGTGTGGAAGTGAGCTTGGAGGCAGGGAACACACCGGAACGGAATTATCGACTGTTTCCCCCATGCTAATGTGCCTATAACTGTACAAGAAACTCCACAGAAAACTTGGCTTCGATCCTACAGAATAAAAAATAAACGACAGGACACACTAGTGTGGTGTCAGTGATGTTGGACATGGACTGGGCTGTGGCGTATCGGAGAAGGGATGTGACATCATACAGTACCTCTTAATTCTATCATTTGCTGGCTTCTCTTCATTCAAACCATGTAAGCTTCGGCTGAAATACAGTGTGCCACATCCATAAAGCCTTTTAAAAAAATGGGATGTTAAAAGGGGCAGATGGAGTGCCATTAACCCTGCTGAAGCTTTATAACAGGCACTGCAGAATCTTCTGTTCCCTGCCAGATAGTATAGACAGACACTGGACACAGTATTTTCATTTGTGTGTCTACAGAAAAGCCTGGTCTCAACTCGCAGTGCCACTATAGGTGCCTCCCTGTGCCTGTAGGTTCAACGGGCTGCAGTTACTGGCTGGAGGAGGAAAGCCAAACAGGAGCACAGCTCTCTCTCACTGCTAAGGAGGTGGTATTGAATGGGGGGTCCCATAACTCTCCCATAATGGCCCGTAACTCTCAGCTGGCAAAAGCAACCAGAACAGGCACAGCACCTCTGGGAGAATCTCGTTGTCCCACAGAATTCGTTACTCCTCCCTGGCCCAGGTTCAATTCCTGCTGGATGAGCTTTTCAACGTACAGCTATAGGCAAAGGTTTTGCAATGAAATAATCCCTGCAGAAATTCCAGATTTTCAGCCAAAGCCAAATGTACATCAAATGAAGAAAAGGACAAGCAGGCTGGACAGCCCGACAGAGATTTGCTCTGCTAAATGTGTGTGGTATTCTGCAGTTTTCTCATCTGGGCTATACTTTATCTTGTGTGGCACAACTGGGAAAATGCTTTAGCAGTTTTCCCCAAATCGTCTCCACTTTATCATCTGTTCCTGTATTTCCCGATCTTATCCTCACTTAATCATCATGTTTTACGCTTCTCTTAATTCACTCCTGCATACCGCGATCAAATCTTAGGGGTTCATCATGACTGAAATCATAAGGGTTCAAATCATGTGGGCTGCCACACATTCCAGGGTGCCAGTCTCCCCTGAGTTTCCTGCAGCAAAACAGCAGACTGAAACTCAGGAAAAAGCACAGAGCTGAAGGTAGTGTGGATTCAATGTTATTCAACACAAGACACATGAAACTGATCTGTGACTACTGTACTGTACATCTCCTGTCCAGAATCAAGAAACAGAAGGGTTTTTTTTCCATATGATGTGAGGACATCAGTCCTTCAGAACAGACAGGAAATAGCATTGCTCTTTACCTTAACAGCTCCTTCTTCTGCAAGGAACCACTCTGGCACCAGAAGCCACAAGACCATACTGATTGCTGGTTGTGTCCAGAAATCAGACTTGGAAAGCACTATCAGACAAATGCTGCAACTGTCTCATATTGCTGCAGGTCTCACTGGAGTAATTGAAGACATTTTAGCACAATTCTCAGCTCATTCCTGGCAGGAGCTTGGAAGCCAGTGACACATAATAATCAGGCTATTTAAACTGATCTGTAATGACAGGTTACTTGGGCTTAATTGCTTTAAGGTTCTCATAAAACTTGTTGTAACAGATTCAACCAATTAGTAGCCTTTGCATTTGCTTAGCTGTCTGTTTCACATCCGTACCACTCCCCGAGTGATACTCGTGTGAAACATTTTATTTTGTATCTATTTATTCAGCTTTTATGATACATGTATTATTTGGTCTGGGTTTCTCGGTTTAGATCTGTCTACAACAGTCCCCTTCAGCATTCTCGGTTTTTCACTGAAATTCATTTTCACTCTCTCTGTGAAAGAAGAAAGCAAAGACGGAGTAGATACATCTTCCTTTTCTTTGGTGACACCTGACCTGCCTCAGACTTTCTCCCTCTATGAGCTATCTATTCAAATGATCAAAGGCTAACAGGTGGAAATGAGGTATGAACATTGATATATTAAGAAGGCAACAGAGAAGGTTTAACTCAGGTGAAATAACAATTCAAGCCCTCACCTCACCTTGATCATGCGATGCGCTACACTCTGGGCTGTGCAATCATCTAGCCGATTCTTGAAAGATTAGAAGGAATTGTCTTCAACAGCATGGCTGGGCAGCTTGTTCCACTCTTTGGGCACAAGAGGGTTTCCTTGTCTGTCCTGAATGCTAGGACATTATGTTATCGCATAATTTCCATTTATGTCCTCAGAGTTTTGTGTCACTGTTTATCTTAAAGTATTCCATTGAATTAACCTTGTCAATACCATTCAGGAATTTGACATAATATTTCTATCAACCCCTCTCGTAGTCTCTCTTTGATGTTAAGTTTTACACGCCCATGAAATATTTACTGTTAAGACCTGAAGTTAATCTAATGGTTCTTTGGAACTCTAGGACAAAAGCAAATATTCTTTATGTAGAGAGGAAACATATACAAGTATCCTCCAATTTCATGCTTCGTCTCCTCTATTCTCATGCCTTCATCCAAGGGTATTGAAACATTAGATTTCCATTCCACAAATACTTTTTAAATTCTACAAGCAATCAGTTTGTTAATTGTTTGGTTATTTGATAACTGTCTCTACAATATTATTAAGGATGCTGATAAAAATACAATGTTGCTTATAGATTGTGATTAAGAACACTGAATGCAGTCAGTTTATCCAACTGAAAAGACAATAATGAGTCTGACTGTGAAATACATGCAGAATCGTGTTTTCTTCAGAAGCTATCAAAGAAAATTGATTCAAAAGCATACCAAAAAATCAAAGGATCTTGTACAACATATTCTGTTGGAGGTCATGAACATATACATGATATACCTTTAGTGGAAAAGTCAAGATTTGCCATTGAAATTTATTTTTGTTTCCAATAATATCAATAAGATAATTTTGAAACAATTTTGGCATGATATTCACAACTCAGATCTTTTGCCACTGCTCCCACTAGGTTTTGTTTTAAATGAGGTAGACGTTTAAAAGATTAAGTTACTTTAATGTACTGTACAGCTCCCTGGTCCAACAGGAAAACTGGTTCAAAGGATTTAAGGACAATTCTCAATGTGGTAGATGAAACTGTTGCACAATATAAAATGTCCTAACTATCCAAATGTAGATAATATAAAGTCTAATTAAAGATTTTATTAATTCTAAGTCAAGTTGTGATATAAAGGCTTAGGTGACCTGGTGGGTTGGCTCATAAAAACCGAAGGAAATGAAATCACATATAACAGACCATGAAACAGTAATTTGCCATAATAATATTGATTATGGCCAGTAGCCATTTCACTCTACAGCTCTCAACTGACTACACACTGGAGCTAAGCAGGGTTGAGCCTGGTCAGTACCTGGATGAGAGACCTCCTGGGAAGCTATGGTTGCTGCTGGAAGTGGTGTTAGTGGGACCAGTGAGGGGCGCCCACCCTGCGGTCTGTGTGGGTCCTAATGCCCCGGTATAGTGGCAGGGACACTATACTATAGTGGGCGCCATCTTTCGGATGAGACCTTAAACCGAGGTCCTGACTTTCAGTAGTCATTAAAGATCCCCGGGCATTTCTCAATAAGAGTAGAGAGTTATCCTAGTGTCCGGGCCAAAATTCACCCCTCGGCCTTTACTGTGGCCTACAAATTGTCCTCATGTATGATCAGCTTGCGCTGGCCCTGCGATGGACTGGTGCCCCATCCAGGTGTACCCTGCCTTGTGCTCATTGCTTGCCAGGTAGGCTCCGGCTTCCTGTGACACTGTGTGGTATAAAGTGGTTTGGCGAATGACATGACAATATTGATTATGCATCATCATGTATCATGGTTCTGCTTGAAGTTTAAAAATTGTTGCTATTGAAAAGTTAACTGTCAGTTAAATAAAGCCTACACACTTTAATTGTGTGTAAGACATTTCAATTGCGTCTTAATTTATTCAATGCAATAGAGGCCTATGAAAAGAGCTAGTGTCAAGGTGATCATTAGAAGTCCCGATGAAGATCTTGTGTCAAAACACATAGTTTTTCTTGTCTGTCCTGCTCTTCTAAAACAACCTTTTAATGAAATAAATTGAAAATAATTTTTTTAAAGATGACAATGAGAATCCTGCCTTGCTTCAAGATAGAGATCAAAATCACTTTATTGGTCATATACAATTTCTTGCATTAGGAATTCATCTTTTCGTATACCCCAGCTTGCTCTCCATGAGACACACAGACAGAAGCTTGGGGTTAAAGTGCAGGGTCAGCCATTGTACAGCCCCCCTGGAGCAGTTGGGGTTAAGGGCCTTGCTCAGGGGCCCAACAGAGTAGGATTCCTCTGCCAGCTGTGGGATTTGAACTGGTAACCTTCTAGCCACAGTCACAGATCCTTAGCCACAGAGCCACCACTCCACCTCCTGGGTTACTTTTTGCGTGGGTTACAGAACCTTGGTCTGTTATACATGACTGGGAAAACCAACATACCAAATAAGTAAACCCTAAGGAGCATAGAACTGTTCTCACCATAATTTAGGATTTGATTGGAACTGGAACAATGGATTAGAACTGAGTAGAAGGCCCCACACGTCACTGTCCCTAAGATGGCCAGCATCAGCAATTTAAAACGTACAGGATCTATTTCCTGTAGGAAATAGAGCACTTTCTTGGATCTCAGAGTTTCAGAACATCTTTATCTTCACATTACGAGCAGCATCACAGAGATGGTGAGAGACGGCCCAGCAGGTCTACGATGGGAGGCCCAATCTTGTCTGATTAGTGCTTTCCATTTCTGAATTACTTATCACTGAGTTTGGGGCAGAAAGCACTTAGAGCCTAATAACTTAATGATTCCCTTCGGCTGCAAAGAAACTGGTGCATGACTAAAATCCTTAAGAGAAACGAGGCTGATCAGCGATGCACTAATAAAGTAAATATCTATATTAGTTCGAAAGCCCCATATCCTTTCAAGACTCAACGAGCTGCACATTATTTCATAAGAGAGTCATTCCTGGAAATGATCTTTTCTTTGGGTGTCGCCATAAACCTGCACTGACATTTTAGTCAATGTCACAAAGAAAACAAAGGAAACCTTACGACACTA